GCCTCTAAATGGTCAATGAGGGTAGTTATTTTAACTGCGTCTAATATACATTTGGAGGTGGTTATGGTATAACCATCTCTAAAGGTAGCAATTAGAGGTGATTTTAATGTAATCGCCTCTGAATGGCAAATAGAGAAGGTTATTTTAACCGCCTCTAGTACACATTTGGAGGCGGTTTCATGTGAACCGCGAATCAATTAAACCGCCATAAATATCGTCTTTATGTATCAATTGGAGATATAAGCCAAAAAAGATTTAAAAAAAGAAAACTCATGTATTCTTGTTACTAATTAAGTATTTTATCCTAATCACTTTATTCACAAATTTGCTTTCTCTGCTTGCTGAAACTAACTTGTTATTTTTACACCATATTGTTGCATAGTTTTCTGAAGGTATACAAAAATCAGAGCTTTTTTAGAGAGAGAGAGAGAGAGAGAAATCTGAAAAGAATCGAATGAATTTTCCAAAACCACTTTCTACCTAATACCATCAGCCAATAACAGAAACGCAGCGTTTCGTAAATCAACAAAACGACAGGATATAAACACATAAAACGCAACACAATATCAATGCACACACAACAGCAAAAAAAAAAAAAAATTCTTTTTTGTACATACATAACAGCAATTTTTTTTATTTTTTTTGGTAAACTACATAACAGCAATTTTAAAGATATTTAAAAACGACTTCGTTTAGTTTATATACTCACGGAAGTTTTATGCAAAGGAGCTGGTATTTAACTGACAGAGAAGCTGATAACTGCTTGTAATTGACTTCTAACGACCAAGGAAACTAACTGATCGAATGACGTGGCATTGTGATGACTAGTGTGACGCTTCCGTTCCATGTACTCATGCAGTGCTTAGGGAAGAGGGGGCAACACTGTTGTGTAAATTGGGTTGTGAAAAACTGTATATATAAATTCAAGGCTGTGTTGTGTATACTTTGAAAAATCTATAGAGAAAAAAAAAAAAACAAATTTACTTTGAAACTTCAGATCCCTAACCCCCTCCTCCCTCTCTGCAATGTCTGCTTCAAACATGGCTGCTTCTCCAACCAATTTGGCAATTAATGTGCAGAGGATGCGCTACGATCAGCGAAGTTTTCTGGTTTCCGGTGACATATTTAAAATCTATTTCAGAGTCTTCCTTGGTCTGAGTCGGGAGAGACCATTAGTCTGCAGTGCGCCTCAAATCATCAACTGCTCTGCATTTTTTGGAAATGATGGAAGAGGGCTTCTGAGGCAATTGATGCTCGATCCTCCTAGAGAGGAGCTTAATACAGAAATGGCTGCTGCAATTGTAGAACGAATTCAAGCCAAAACCCGCGAGAAATTTGTGGATGTCAGTGATCCTGAGTCCAAGTCGGAGATCATTCCTTTAATGCTGGAAGCATTTCTGCTGTGAGAAGGTGTTCTGCCTTCTTTCCTTTTCTTGTAATGTCCTTCTTTGACAAAGGTGTTCTTTTTTCATTTCTTGGGTATCTTGGTGGGTTAATCTTGAATTGGATTGAACAATGAAATAAGCCTTTTTTTTTTCTGCACTAGTTTCTTGTATTTCTTTTTTTTTTTCCTCCCTGCAAGAGTATCTTAGCCATTAGATCATGAGTTTTGTACTCTCTTTTTTTTTTTTTTTGTGTGTGGGTCTCTTGCAAACATTCAATGATAGTTATGCTTCCGGAGGAAGAAGATATATTCCTTTTATGGTGCTTCTTCGACTAGTTCTTTCTTTTTCTTTTTCTTTTTCTTTTTTTCCTGTTTTCTTGTTTTCTTGTTTTCTTGTATTGTCTATTCGATGAAAGTTATTGCGCATTTTTATAATGTGAAAAACATTGGTTTGGGAAAGAGGGGGAAAATGGGGGTGATATATACACCTTCTAAGTGCATCAGTGAGGTGTTCCAATTCGCTGAGAGATCCTTCCATGTCAAAGAAATCATCTGCAACTGTGATTATTATAGCACTCTTTGCCACTAACATTCGTACCCAAGAGTGTTGTTGGATGTTAGTGGAAGCAGCTATAGCATAGTCTTCTCTCTGCCAAATCTCATATTTGTAAGACCAATGTTTTGGGACCACCTGTTATAATTTCAAAGGTGAGCTAGACATGTATCAGATCTACATAAGCTATGCTAAATGTCTATATGTGAAGCTAAAATATGTTCACCAGAAATTGAATCACAGCCTCTTCAGTTCCTCTAACTCATTTTTGTAGATTGATTGCTTAAACTCATAATTTTGCATGGCAAGTTCTAGGAGATCAGCCTTGTGAAAATGTGATATCCTACGCCAGGGATTTGTCAGTGAACATTAGTGTTTTAAGGCAAGGCAAGGAGACTTTTCAGCTCAATCTATTAAATAAAAAGGAAATAATTTGGTTACAAATGAACCTATTATGTGAGGTCTTTCCTTTCCACAGGAAATTGGCTTCGTTTTCTTCTATCCACACCCTGTGATCCAAATGATTTGTGCAAGCCAGCCATGGAATATTAACTCACTCTCAACCCATGTGACCAATTGAAGTATATATATATATATATATATATATATATATATATATATATATATATATATAAAGAGTTTTACAAGAGTTATGTTGTAGGAAAAATAATTATGTTATGTTATAAAGATTCGTTTTGAGTGCCGTATTTTTTCTTTTTCTTTAAAACATGCGGGTCCTACCAAATGTTATGTGTGTAAGAAATTTTTTATGATCATGTTAAATGATGAATGCAAATCTCATATATAAATGCTTTAATTTGCAACTACTTCAGATTGTCTCTTATTTTGCATGATGGTTAATTTTTGACACATGACATTTTTGGTTAATTTTTTTGGGTGGCAAAAAAGGCAAAAAAGACCTACTCCGTCACGATAGCTTGTTCAACTTATCTATTTTAGTATCTTCAATTGAATTTTAGCCCGTAAACCCAACTTAACTCAACTCATCCCATATACAAATGGGTTAAAATGGATCAACTTAAGGGAGTATTTGATAAGAGGATTATTTTTAGATATCTAGAAAAGTGAGGATGAATTTCCTAAAATCTCATATTTGGTAGCACGTTGGAGAAAAAAATTTAGGAAAGTTATTTTTTCGATATTTTGTTTTATGTGTATTTTCTAAACCAAAATACCATAAAAAAATATCATCCAAAGAGTGATATTTTAGGGATCTCAAACGAGAAAAATATCATAAAACACTTGATTTTTATGATGAATGTTATTCATACATTGAAATAATAATGAGTTCCTAGAAACTATAAAACAGAATATTAACATACGTTTACGTTTAAGATTTTAAAAATGAAGGAAAATGCGTGATGAAATTAGGTAGTACTACAAACTCATAAAATAATATTTATTTTTTAATTTTAATTTTTTATTATTATTTAAATGGGTTAACCCACTAAAACAAGATGGGTCAGCCTGTTCCACCCGCGGTAGCAATAGTACGACATACAATTTTGTGGAATTGGGAAAAAAATCTTTGGTGCAATTGATACATAAGTAGATTTGTGTAAATTTATAGACACGTGTCTACGTATCCTAATAAAAAGGAACTAGTTTTGTTCGATTATTTCACATGTGATCAGTCTCCGTCTTTAGCCATCAAGCTTTTATCAAGTAGATTTTGGCTTCCTCAAGTTCATATTCTCCACATGTAAAGCATTGAGGCTCTGTACATGTAAAGCATTGTAGTTGAGAAATAATCGGGTCCCTTTTCATATTCTCATTTCTTCATCATCTAGAAACCAACGAAATTGGAACTCAAGTCAGTAAAATTTTTAGTTCAAGTATAGCGGTCAAATTTCCCACTAAGAGATTTTGACCTTTTAGGTAATCAATATCATATCAAAAGTTATTTTTTTTAAAGGGGAAAATATTTTATCTACTATTTTTATTGGAGGTAGGATCCTTTGACACCGGTGTCAAATTTGAAGTTTGACACCTCATCTGAGAGCCGTTAGATCAAAAAAGATCAACGACTCTGATTTGTAACCATGTAACACATTGATCTTTTTTGATCTAACGGCTCTCAGACGAGGTGTCAAATTTCAAATTTGACACCGATGTCAAAGGATCCTATCTCTTTTTACTGTCCACCTTTGCCTATCACATAAAAACACCATTATATCAGAATCTTAACTCTCTTCTTAAGATTATGATATAACGGGGTTTTATGGTAAGCAAAAGTAAGTAGGTAGAATAACATATTCTTTTTTTAACAATGTAGTAATGTATTGAATAAATCTTAAGAAGAGAGTTAAGATTCTAATATAATGATGTTTTAGTATGGTAGGCAGAAAAAATGATAGATAGAATATCACATCCCTGGAATACTAAAGTATTCTTATACTTAATGATATATTATCACATTATTTGATAAGTTGAAGTTCTTATATATTAATAATTAAATTTATTAAATAACATTTTAATAATACAAAATTAGATGATAATAAAATAATTTACAATTATTGCTTATTAAAATTAAACTATAATTAAGATATATAATCATGTGCTCTTATGATAAAAGAGGGTCTATTTTAATCTTATTTACAATTAAGAATCAAAAAGTATATTTATTCTATTATAAAAAAAGGTTTATATTTATCATTTAACATGACACAACAAACTTTCCTGCACACACAATATTTTGTGGGGCCCACACTTTTTAAAGAAAAAAGAAAAGAAAATTACGGCACGCAAAACGAATTTTTATAACATTACACAATCATTTTTCCTACAACATAACTCTTATAAAACCCAAAAATAAATTGATCCCCAATAATTTCATACTCATTTTTACAATACATTAACCCCAAATATACCAAAAAAAGAAAAATAACAATATCTAATGTGAAACAATTTTAAATAATAATAATTTAGAATAATAATAATAATAATAATTAATAATAAAAAAGATCAGTTTCTTTTGCTCCCAAGTTCAGTCTCCAATGAAGAAGATATGAAAAGGGTCATTAACCCAATCCAAAGATCCAAATATGAAAGATGATCCAAAATCTGTGAAAAAAATCATTGAAACGAAATGTTGGTTGGAAAATGGAGGAGGAGCCTCCCTTTCTTGGTTGGGAGTGGGAGTAGGAGCTTACGTTCAGATGCAGCTTTGGAAGCCATAGCTAAAGCTTCAGAAGATAAAGTTCCCAATATAGTTCTCTATAATTACCCTTCGTTTTCTGGAGCATTTTCCGCTCTCTTTGCTCACCTCTTCCACACTCGTCACAATCTCCCTTCCCTTATATTGCCCTTCTCTTCGGTTCCCTCTCTTTCTTTCAGGTTCATTTCTGACCCCATCTTCTTCAACTCAGTAAATTTCCTTTCTTTTTGTAATGGGGTTCTGTGTTTCTTGTTTTGGAGCATTTTAACGTTAACTCCTAGTTTATGTGCTCGAATTGATTTCGTGTTTGAAAACTCGAAGGGGGTGAAATGGGGTGTTGGAAAGTTGTTGTTTTTGAATGATCCTTTGATGAACTTACATGTTTGTGACAACAGGGTTGAGGATTTGTGCATTGAAGGCCTTGAGACATGCTATATGCTTGACTTTCTTCCTCCGAAGGAATTTCTTTTCAAACTTTCCCGTCAATCAAAATGCAGGTAGGTATTGCTTTTGTTTCATTTCTCATGTGCTTTTGATTGCATACTAATTTAGTTATTTTTATCTGTCTAGGGTTATTGTGTTTGATCATAGGAAATCAGTACTTAGACATATTCCCTCTGCCAATGATTGCCCTGAGAATGTTATGATTAATGTAAACCTTGAGAAGAGTAGCTCCAGTGCTGTTTATGAATACTTTGACAGCAAACATGAGGATATTAGAGTTTCTTATGTAAGTAAGAATTTAAGTTCTTATATGTTATTTAGTTCTCCTGCATCTCAGTGATCTCATATATCATTGACTGAGATAGAAAGATGCATGAATTTTGTTAAGGATAAGGATGTGGTTCCGATTTTGGTGGACTCAAAAGACAAAGGCCGTGTGGAGCTGATGCTTAAGTATATTGAGGATGGAGATCTTCACCGGTGGAGCTTACCTGGCATTAAGGCCTTTAATATTGGACTGAATGAATGGCGGTCAAAGTTTAGCTGCATTTCTAATCCATACATGTATAAACAGGTATGATTGATCGTATTTTAAGCTCATTTCTATGTTTTCTAATTAGTGTTGTTGTTAAATGAAAATTTAGATTTTGCTTTAGTTCATATAAAAAATGGATTAAGAAACAAATTTATGAATTCATAGTGTTTTCTTGTTTGTCAAAAGGATGTAGTTTACTTATGCCAAGTCAAATAGCTTAACCAGGCAAACTGAAGAAGTTCTTTAGTTGAAAATGAATGTGTTTCAATAGCAACTGTAGAACTATTATTCTGCAAGACAGCATATGGAGGTTGTAGGCTTGCCTTAAATCTCTTACTGTTGGTTATGTCAACTGTTTGGGAAGAGAAAAATGCAATTTGATAAGTTAATGGTTGTTTGAAGCGAGCATGACTGATGCAAATACAGAATCTTTTTATTACACTGTTGTATACTAGTATTGCAATTCTTCAGGCAATGGCACCATCTATTTTACTACTTTACTTGCTTTTATATGCCTTACTGTGTAATTTTCCGAAAAGCAAAATCGTTTGTCTTTAATATGATGTTATTAATGGCAGATGGTGGAAAGCTAAAAATTCACCCAAAAAATATGGCGGAAGGCATTGCAGCCTATGAATGAAGCATGGTGGCGATAATAAAAAAATAATATATACACAAAAAGTTCACTAAAAAATGGCAGAATATAATAAATAAGGAAAATTAATAACATATATCGAGAACAATAAACAAGAAACTTATTGTAAGGAATAAAATTCACCAGAAGTATCACAGTACTCAAACTTAAGGGATAATATCATAAGCCTCATAGCATAAGTTCAGTAGAAAGGAAAAACTATCAAGTACAAGTAACAACAATTAACAGAAAAAAGGACAAAGTTAAAAATCTAATTTTCCTCGTCCACCCTACTGCAGTTATTGTCCTTGTCATCGACTGTGGCATATACCTCTTCCACTTCTCCTTATGGTTTCTCAAAATTAATTTATTTTTCTTTATCTTCAACCACTTTCTTATTTCCTGTCAGTCCATGCATTTGACATAATAGAGCAGCCATGTTTTTCCCACTGCTCCTTACGATCCTTCAACAAGTTTTCATTGTACTCCAACTCCTTTTTGAGGAGTGGAACTCTTATGTCATGATAACTTGGAGCATGCAAATTTGGACCAAAGCTTCCAACAGCTATGAGCATATCTTACAATCCTTCAACAAATTTTCATTGTACTCCAACTCCTTGTTGAGGAGCGAAACTCTTATGTCATGATAACTTGGAGCTTGCAAATTTGAACCAAAGCTTCCAACAGCTGTGAGCATATCTTTAAAAGCTCTTCAATTTGATAATGTTGAATTAAAAATCCAGCTTTGTACCAAAACTGAGCTATATATTGATGGACCCTAGCCCTTGCTTCTTTGACTCACGCCTCCCTTTTGTCAGTTTTCCTTAATCTATCCTTTTTCCTCTTTTCAATGGCAGTTTCTAGTTTTCTACAAAAACATATCCATCGGCCCATTCTTAGCAACTTTCTTTCTCCCTGTTGCACTACTGGGTGCCTTAGACTCTTTAAGGTTGTCAAGCTCCTCTTCGCTGTAGCCATATCCCAAGTTTTCAACATCAAAATCCCTCACATTTGGAATCTCGATGCTATCCTGCGTCTTTTTATCAGTTGCATATTCCCAAATCTCTTCTCTGGCTTCCTTTGGGCACTTCTTCCCCATTAAATTCTCTTTGGATCTAGTGATCCCTCCCTTCGTAATTTTTCCACAGAAATTGGATACACAAATGTTCATGTCATTTTCTTCCAAGGAATGACAACATTTCCACCCTGGATCAGTTCTGTCAGCAGCCCTTGAAGTCTGTGATGATCCTTGGCCTTCACGTGCCATTATTAGAATCACTGAGAACAAATAGAAAAGTGAGAACCACTGAACAGAGAACAGAGAGGAAAAGAGAGAACAGAATAGGAAACAGAGAGGAAAGAAATAGAGAGAAACAATGAAACACAGGAAGAGAAGGAACAGAGAGGAACTAAGAAACAGAGACTCAGAGGAACAAAGAGGTTACCTGAGAAAACTAGATTGTGTTCACCAGAGGTGGGTTGTTCGCCGGAGATGGGGATGTTAAGCTTTGCATAAGACATGAGCACTAGTCATGGAGTTTCAGTGTTTAACACACGTTGAATGGTTTCTGAACTGTCAGAGACTCTTCAGTTATTTTTTCTAAAAGAAAAATTAACTGCTGCTTTTTCTGCCATACCCATACCCATGGTCACTGCCTTAACCACCTTGGCAGAAGCAGCTTCAATAGGCTGCAATGCTAAACCCAGAATGCCATTGACAGATAATGGTGTTTTTCTGGAAATCCGCTATGCTATAGCACCATGGCCACTTTTTGACAACATTGCTTTACTATTCTTGATGTAAATTGTTGTCAGTTTATCTCTAGTTATTATGTCTGTTGAATATTTCCTAACCTTTGAAAAACCTTCATTGCAGTTGCTGGAATTATGTGCTGAAGATTTAATTGCTAAAGGAAATTCATATCTTTCAGCTCGCCAGAATGCTGCAAGTAAATTGCTGGAAAAGGTTTTTAGGGTTCGGCTGGGTAGAGGATTTTATGGAGAGTGCCTGGTAATATTTAAGAATATAATCATCTTCATTTCTGTTGTTTTTAATATGCTAAAAATTTATTAGTTATTTTAATTTGTCCTGTTTTAACTTAATTAATTATGAATGAAATTCAAATTTGTATCATGAACATACTCTGCTGCTTTTTTTATTGGCCAATGTATAACTAATTCTAGCCAGTTTAATTGATTATAATGCCATCATGCAATTGTAATGTGGTGGTGGCCCCACCCCTGATTTTGTGATTGAAGTTTCTAATCATGTTTTGTTACCTAATTTTTGTTTAGGGAGTTCGGGCAGATGGGAACTCCAACTTAAATGATGAAATTGGCAAGCTTCTTAGTGTAAAAAGTGCTGCTACTGGTCTGAGGTGAGGCAATTGTTTAGAAGAAATTTTTATCGAATTTATGTTTAATTTGATGTTATTATATTGTTGAAGAATGATGTTCCCTAAGGGTTTTTTACTGCAAGAAAAGTTAAACTTAGATCATGATTCATGACTACAACTCTTTTGAACTTTTCATGAGCATGGTGATTGGAATAATCATTACATATGAAGTTCTTGTCAGTAGAACAAAGGCAGCAATTGGTAACGACAGAAATGTCAAACTTGGCCTAGCAATAAATTACCAAGAGCTCCACTGTGGCATTAGCATAGGCTTCGTTGTTTATATTCACATGAATCGTTTTTTTCTTTCAGAAAACACATAGCAAATTCTTCTCATAACTAGACGCTGAAAATTAAAATAACAAAATATAGTGGCTCCCCGAGTTCAAGTATATCTGGTACATCATACTGAAATTTGTTACGCATTTGATGGTCTCCAAACTCTCGAGTCCAGTTTTCCGTTGAACTTGAGGAAGGATCTGGGTTGTAGTTTCATTAAGAAGAATGCAGGTGTTTAACACTAATCCCTTGTCAGCATGTCAATTATGTCCTGTCGTATTAATGTGAAATTCAGTTAGCATATATATATATATATGAAGACTTTATTTAGGGATTTTGTAATTATCTTGAAAAGCATTTGGCGCTTGATTGTTGCTTGGACCTAGGTAAATCCAATAAGATACTCCTTGATTATTGCCTATGTGTACCGAGTATTTGTAGATGGTGGTTGGTTTTTGGGGAACCAAAACCTGCCCACTCTTGGTTGGTAACTCCATCAATACTTGAAGAAGCTTTCGCTTGAGGGGGAGTTGACAGTTGTAGGACTCGCACTTGAGGAGAAAATTGTTGAGAATTCAAGTGAGTGATAAAATATCCCATATCAGGAAGGAATGGGCTAAGCATGGTACATATAAGTCAAAGGACCCATAAATCCAAATTGTTAAGTGTTGGAGAGTCCAAAGTTATGTCTGAGTATCCTTCTTTGATTTAGGTTCTCAGGGGTTAAGTGAAGAATCTAAACAACACTCTTTTAATAGCTTCTTATAGGCATGATTGTCTGCCAGACTGCTACTGCTTATTGTGGATTTTTTTAGTTGCATCAAAGAATATATGAATCATATAATCTTATCATTAGATGTATTCATCAATGGCAGGCCCATAGGGGCTGTGATATTTATGCAACGGAATAATCTCAAAATGTGTTTGCGTAGCACTGACAGCGCTACTGATACCTCTGAAGTTGCAAAGGTGTGCCCTGCTTTGTCCTATATTACTTTTCTTACCTTTTAATTGTTTAGCACTTTGTTACACATTAATGAGTTTTCTGCTTTGGGAACTTGAAGGCATATGGTGGAGGAGGTTCCCCAAGTTCAAGCTCCTTCATAATAAGGATGGATGAGTATAACCAATGGATTTCAATGAAATTGTCATGATGGTTTCTAGGTTTGAGTATCTAATATTGTTTTTACTTCAATATTTATGGCAATGTATCTTATTTTATTCTTTCTCTTCATGAAATTACATGTTGAGAGTTCGAGACTATTATTAGTTTCGTCGGTATAATACTAGTTGGATAGTAGAATTGTATGAAATATATATGGGTTATATTTATCTTATGTTGTAAGAAAATGATTATCTCATGTTATAGAAATAAAATTACAAGTGTGACCCATATGTAAGAGGAGAGAGAAAAAATAGATGTGGGACACACCTTCACTTTGTGTGTGTAGAAAGCTTGTTTGTCTTATGCAATATAAGATAAATATAACCCAATATAAAATAGCAAATTTTCATCTACTATTTTACCAACATAAAATGGTTTTCCTTTGGAGCAAATGTTCCTGCTGACTTAATGATTCAGGTTTATTTTCTTTTTTAACATGGTGCATGATGGAGAATACCAGCTTATGTCTGTCATGCTAACCTGATCGTTTGATAAATTTGCTAGCTGCCTTTAGAGATTGAAATCACCAGTGACAATATGTCGGCTCTTCTGCTTGATTGAATAAATTATTTGAAGTGGCATTAAAAGGGATCTATTAGGGAAGATACAGATGATGTGATGACAATAGAACCCTTGCATTATCCATTTGATATCGAAGATTATGGTCAGTGGCAGAGCTAGGAAAAAAAGTCAGGTAGTGCCAAAAGATTCGGCCAGGTAGAATCAGGTAGTGCCAAGGTTGTATTATTTTTAAAAATCCAACTAATGTCAAGGTTGTGTCATAATTTTTTAAAACCATTTTAAAAAATTAGGTGGTGCCTACCCAAGTGGCTCTCTGCCACTAATTATGGTAGTGTTATCATGACATATTTGTAGACTGTCCTAATATTGGTGTTGCACATGATGAGACTAGGGAAAAGAAGTTAGAGCGTGAACAAGAAGGAAGCATTCATCTTGGGGGTAAACAAGCAGCTATTGAGGTTGAATTTAAGGACAAAGAAGTGGAAGATAATATTCAAGTTTATCCAATTGAAAAGATAAACATTCTTGACTGTGACTAGTTTGAGAACTTAGCAGTTAACACTGCCGCTGCTGTTGTTTCTTCCATCACCAGTGTCTGCCAACTTTACAGATTTTAGTTAGAGTTTATGGTTATTGTCGCAATTTTTTTTTATCATTTTCAGCCAAATCCGTGATTAAAATATTTTAGTAGTATTAAAGGACTAATGGGTTCATTGACTTCTACCTTTGCTAGCTTCTCTTCTTTTCCTTGTATCCCCATTTTATGCAGTTACACTCCATCGCATTGCAGCCTAAATCTTTTTTAAAAAATATAAAAAATAAACATTGCAGCCTAAATCTGAAAATATGTAAATGTGTCAAATTGGAATGGAATGGGAAATGCTTCAGCTTTTCATTCTTCGAAGCTCTAATAGCAAGGGCCTCGTGATTTTTTTTTTCCCCATTATTATTATTATTAAGGGAACATAGTTTACCTATGTGAAGTTTGGCTCAAAATCACTTTGCCATGGTGGTATAAAAATTGATTCTTTGGGTGTTTATGACAAGATAATGATCCTGTTCTATCATTCTCTTTTTTTGGAGAAAAATAATAATTGTTTTTATGCTTAGGAAAAATGTGTTTAATAAGACACATTGTATGACGTGTGTTTTAAAAAAAAAGTTTTTTTTTTTTTCAATTTCCAAGTGTTGATAACACAATTTATGATGAGAATAGATTCATGTGAAAATTGTCCTTATTTTTCTCTTCATGAATTTAATTGGATAGAACCTATTTAATGCCAATGAAGAAAGACAGATACAAGATTTATATGATTAGGTATTGTGAAATTTGTTTGATACATTGATCATGACTGAAAATGAAGAAAGAAAGAAAAAAATTAACTTTTGTTGAAACTATTGATTTTTTCTTTGCAACAGAAAAATAAATTGATTTTATCAAAAATAATTTGTAATCATTTCTATTCCCTAAACTAAAACTTAAAAAAAAAAAAAAAAATTAAAAAAAAAAAATTAAAATATGTTTTTGTAACATTATTAATCATCTCATCAATTTTCATCTATTTTATTTTATTTTATCAGAAAATACACCTGAAAAGTTTTCTTACTTTGATACTTACCAATTAGGTTTTGACAATGCATCTTCCCTGATCATTTAATTTAAATCCTTTTGGTAGAACTATTTCAATTGATTCAAACCTATTAGGCCTAGTGCTGCTAGTCTGCAATGATTCTTGAGTTGATCTTATGCATTCATTTCCAAGATTATATAGTAAAATATTGAACTACCTTTAAATGCTTTGGGATAAAGGTGATCCTAATATTAATGATCATGTTGATCCAAGCAATGTGGCCCATCATTTCCCTCTAAAGCAGAGGAGGGTGGTGGTATGATAGTTCTCAAACTCCTGGAAACAGAAGGGGCATACCAAACTGGTCTTGTAGTAGTAAACATATAACTCAATTTCTCTAACCATTATAGATGCTTTAATAAAAAAGAACACTGCTACCAAACTCCCATATTTATTTCCAAGCAAGAAACTCTGGTGCTAAGACTTTAGTTTTGATAATAATTTAACAGTCACTCTGTCTTCACAGTTGAAAAATGGATAAAAAAAACATCTCAAGGTGGTTATGTGTAACTGGCCAAATCATAGGAGGGCGAAGTATCAATTTCTAAATCATAGGGAGGCATAGTAATTTGAGACAAGCCACCAAAGGTAAAGCTATAATTCATCAGCTTATATTGATTGTAAACTAAAAATATTATGGTGGTTCTATTCAAACAAACTTCTAAGAGGCTATTTCGATGTATGCCACACTGTTTCTTAGGATATTTGACATGGAGAGATTTTAATTGGAGGGATAGTTTTTATGTAGGACTGTAAATTATTTTTTATTTTGCATGTCAATTCAAGCAATGCTATTCTGTCATGGGCTCAACTTAAGTTCCTATATTATAAAAGCATCAATATAGACAAACACTTAAGAGAGAAATAATCACATCTTCTGCGATCAAGTATTGGATATCCAAAATTCACAAAAGTTCTAAAATTTTATTATCCATATATAAACTCTATAAATAAAAACTAAAGCCTACGAGTACACAGACCTACTCTCTCTATTAGCTTTGCTGCTCCATTATTGTGCATAGTAATCCACTAGTCTTTGAAGTATCTGTAAAGAGTCAATTCAATCCAAAAACTTAAGTTATTGGGTGAGGTTACATTAATGCTTTTATATATTTTAACACGCCCCCTCACACGAGAGTCCACTGGGCTTGGAGGGTGGACAATGCACAGGCCCCAGGATCGAACTCGGAACACCGAAGCTCTGATATCATGTAAAAAATCAATTCAACCCAAAAACTTAAGCTATTGGGTGAGATTACATTCATGGTTTTATATATCTCAACGGTATCTCTCCCATACAACCACATTGACTCATCAATCATCACATTGGACATCTCAATCCATTGCATCAAACAATTCTCGTAATTATTTTAAGGGAAAATATTTTCTTATGTTAAATGAGACAATGTCTCACACTTACACTAATAAAAAGGTGGATCCCATGAACTTTTTAATTTTATTTTATTTTATACAAAATATTGGAGCCCACAAGTTTGTGTTTATGATATGAGATAATTTATCTCTTTTAACATAAGACTAATAACACTTTTTTTAATTAATAAAATACTTATTGGTAAACAAAGTATTCATACAATTATCCGATAAGCAAATATCAATTATATTCTGTTGACATTATTCTTTGATTTGAATTTGTTACCTCAAGTCGAAGTCGTCGAGTGCAATATTCAATTTATTAATCAAATAATGATAATTCAGTCGGCACCATGGAACTGAGTAGGTAAGGGTAAGAGCATATATTCAATTCTTCTCATTACCATCTTTAGGAGAGATTTAAAACCTTAATCCTAAGACCTATCCAGAAACAGACTAGTTGCGGAGCAATGAACCAATTTAAATATCTGCAATATATATATATATATATATATATAGAATTGAACCAGAAGTCCACATGTGCAAGGCAACTTCACAATTGATAAGGATATTAGTTGGAATTTGAATTGAACACCACCTTTTTTATGTGTCGTCCAACTATTTGAAATGATATTGAGCCAAGTATACCCCAGCAGTATATTGCACAAGAAACTAATAAAAATAATATAATAAACTATGAGTTTTATGTTTATCATTTAACATAATATAATTTCACTTTCCTACACACACGTTAAAGAGGTGGAGTACACATATTTTTCTTTCTCTTTCATCATTCCACTTTCTCTCTCCCTTTTGATGTGAGAGTTGGAAACAACACTTACATCAATGTTACATAACACTAATAAAACCCATAAACTGTATATCTTAGGAAAATGTGGTTTCTCTATATTACGTTCAGCATTTTCAGGAGTAGGTCATAAGTGCAATTGTAATAAAACCATTAAAGAGACAGAGTCAATAGTTTAAAGGGCAACCATCAACCACTATGCCCTTAGCTGTTGGGCAAGTTGCCAGAGGACAATGCTCACCATCAGTTCCCCACCAAGTAAAACTTTTGTTTTCCAGGCCAAGTGTAAAGTAAAGCAATACAGCCATAAAAGCAACCCCGGCATCAAGTGCTGCTGACAGAACATAGTTGTATCTCTGCCACCATTTCTTTCTATAACGGAAGATAAAGAAGTTGAAAATTGTTCCAACTAAAATCCAGGAATTGTAGTTCAATGCTGTTGCTGGTGGCATCATTCCAGTTGCTCCCAGGAGGACTGGAAGATTAATTAAGGGAATCCATGATTGCTTGGGGAATGCCTTATGTAATAACCAAACTATTATGGGACCTATTGCACCACCAAGGAAAAACCAATTCATTGCTTTGTAGTCTCCTTTAGAACCAAAGATTCGCTTTGGTCCTACCAGACCCCAAATAACTGATGCATCAAAGAAAACTCGGTCACTGGGACATGTCCATGGACTACCTGGGGGAAGATCTTCATGACATATGTTATTGATAGAGATCAGCAACCACCATGCTACACCAATGTTGATAGTTCCAGCAAGTATTGTACCAATGAACTAGACATGTTTGAACACATTGAATGCATTAGATACTATAGAAGAAATTCAAGACGAGTATAATGCATGCTGTTTGTGTGTGACACAAGGATTAGGAAATGGGCATGTCATTGTAGGTTCATACAGTGTGAATTTTGCTGCTTGACTAACATATATTAATATTAGTAGTTGATGATTTATAGGATCTTTTTATTTTTTTCTTCCTTTTTGTTTGCTTTTGATTCTCCTTATCTGACCATAGTAAATAATTGATATCAACTTAGAGTTTGAAGGGGAGAAGAGGGGAAATACACATGAGGAATATACCTGAACTAAGAACATTGATCGTGGAGGGATCTTCATGTAGTGCCCAAGTTTGAAATCACTGAGGAAGGAGACAGCCTGAGACATGCTTATGTAACCGTAAGTTTTGAAGCATACATTTGCTATTGGTCTTCCGGGGTAAATGATACCAAAGATATACTCGGTAATGATATTCAACCCTGGTGTCTGCATGTAGAGCATAAAGTTAATAGGCTAAACTTCGAATTTATGGTCCTGCTTCCATGAAGAGAGTACTTACTGTGTTATTTAAAACCACAAGTTGACTATCAGGCTAAAATAAAATTACCACAAGACACAAACTTCATGGCTCTATCTAATCTTACACTATTCTTGTATTCACAATTAATCATTGAGAAAACATTCTAAGTTGAGTGTTCATTGAGCTAAGATCTATTTCTAGTTTATCATAAGAATCATGGAAAGTGTATTTTCTAACCTGTCCCTGCCAAGTAATTCAGTAAAAGGTACAAAAGGAGTTTCATTTTACATGTACTCAATATTTTATGGATAAAATAGTTTTAAGATTTTTCCTTTTAGGAAGGGAAGGGAGCAAAGGTTTCAAAAAAATTACCTGGTTTGTGGTGGCAGTTATGATGCTAATTGGGAGGGTAAATATAAAGGCCAAGGCTGAAGCAAAGATAAGTCCCCACCACGGCATCTGAATCTGGTCATTAAGAAAGATGCATAGTATGAGAGAAACCACAAGCGTCACGCCCAGCAACACAAAAAACCACCAAGAAGGTATGTCTTTGTATTTTCTCATCAGTTTTGTGTGGATATCTTCTTTGCCCCTTGCAGAAGCACAGTACCGCTCCATAATCTCCCTGCATGTTTAGGTCCACATCAAAATATAACATTTTCTTTTTTATGCATGAGATAGCTGATAGGTCTATAAAAGCTTAAGCTGCAAAAAGCATAGAAACCTATAGCTTTTTAAATGTTTCAAGTGCATGTTCAGCTCTGTTATGGCGTACGCATCTTCTTAAGATCAGTTTTAACATTAAATTCCATCTGAACTCATTAAGAAAATATTGAAAAAACATCATAATTGTTCAATATGATCTCTTTCTATTTAACACAAACTCCAATGTCATCATAAGTTTTATCTGAATGTTATTGGCATTGAATGTGTTGGATTCAGATAATCATTTTATACAATATGCAACTGCAAATTATTTTTAAATCCAATAAACTGCATTAATATTTTGACAGCCAAAGTAATGTAGAGTTTATAACATACTACCGCAACTATTTGTTCCAAACTTAATAATATCACATCCCTGACATAAAATCCTTTGTTTCAGTCATTTTATTAAATAATGTAATAAACAATTAAACAAGGAGAGCATTACCTTCCATAGAAGCAAGCAACATGTGTAAGGGTGGATGCTATGGTGGCAAATCCAAATCCATAAGTGATGGCAAAAAACACACTTAGATGAATTCGACCTTGCTCGTGATACTTTACAGGATCTAGCTCAAACTTTTCATTGACAATAGCAGATATGTTGTATGGTTGGCCTTGGGCTGTGAACAAGTCTGCAGAGAAAATGGGGAACCTATTTGAACTGTACACATTGAAGCCCCAGTATGTTATAGGAATCACAACGTAGACCATCAATACATAGCCCACAAAAACGTTAACAATGGCAAAGAAGGGTGAGATAAGAGGGCTGAACAAGAATGAAGCCACAGCAGACCAATCTAGTGTTAGAGCACCAAGTCCTAAGCCATTCATGCCTGAGCCTATCTGCTGAGCTGTGACTGACTTGGAGAATATCCAGCAAACCCATGATATGCTTGTAAGTGTTGAGAAGAAGTATCCAGGGATCAGATACCATGAAAAACTGCAAACTAGTGCAATGCAGAAAAACTTTGCCCGTGAAAGTCTGTGGTCATCTTTCTCATGCAAAGCTCTGCATATCAACAAGGTTTGTGTAAAAGTACCCTTGATAATTAATAGATAAACAAAGGATTTTATAATTCTTATTTTACACAAGAATTGAAATGTCATATCATAGAGATAAAAAGCAAATGGACCCATATGTTAAAAAAAATTATATGTGAAACCCATATCAGTATGAAAGTCGTGTTACATGAGACTTATAAAACCTATAAACAAAACATATTCCGCACTCATTGTGGTTGCATGCCCAGCATTTTTATTGCTATAATGTACGAAAAAATAAAAAATAAGAAACAAAATATTGAATCTTTATGTGTACACAATTCAAATAAGAGTTTTAAATGTGAGTAAGTCCCAACTCGGGATTAATCCCATGGCCGGTTCAAAAATTTAAAATTTGTGAGGATATTCGAGGCCCGATGATATCCTCCAGCATATATAGTTTTCTACGTTAAAAATAGCAAAGATTTAATCCACTTTGAAAGAAAAAATACTTAAATTTGTTATAAAGTTGATAAACCATGCTCAATTCTTCTCTTATTGAATTTATGTTGTTTTTGTAAGAAAAGGACTAGAAAAGGACGTGTTATTAAGCACTAGAGAGAGCAATTGAGCGAGCTGATAAAATTATCTCGTCAGTTTGCTTGAACAAACGAACAATTAAGCGAGCTGATAAAATTACCTCGTCAGTTGCTCGAACAAGCGAGCAATTGAGCGAGATAAAGAAATTGAGAGAATTATTGGAGGCTTACACAAATAAAATCTATTATTATTTAATAATCTTACAAAAATAATTGTAATAAAAAATTAAAATAAATCCCATATTTCATGTTTTTAAATAATGTTATTAAAATCAGTCTAAACCGGTCTAATCAGGGATTGAACCACAAATTGAAGCATATCTTAGGTGAAATAGGAATAGGTGTTCCCCTAATAATAAGGGCATTCAGGAATCATTAACCATATGGAAATGGGTGAAATAAATCAAGTTTAGTGCATCGTTTTTATTTTATTTTATTTTAACAATAATGCATTGAGTTTTCAGTATTCCCACTTAAGGTATTTTCCACAAATTGATGTGTTCTACTCAACTAATGATTTAAATAAGCAAATCAATCTTAAACGGATGAACCGACTTCACAACGGGCTCAACCCGTATTGAATTAGCTCTAGATTTCTAATTGAATCAGTTTTTGAATTTTATGTAAAATTCTTAGGGAAAGATTCCACTTACTACCTATTTTTCTTACTACTTGTTATTACCAAATTTTAACCGTTAATTTCCGTCAATCTAATAGTTATAATTTATTGTAAATTAATAATTAATTAATAAGTAAGATCCTATAAATTACAACTGTTAGATTGACGAAAATCAACGGTTAAGATTTAGTAGTAAGAAAAACATATAGTAAGTATAACGTTTCCCAAATTCTTAAAGGCTATACTATGTATGGGTTGAAACCTCTATCCTAATGCAAAATATACATAACGTTAATTATTTGTATATTTTTTGAACACATACATAACGTTAATTATAAAGCCACAATTATACACAAGTTATAATAACTTTTAGTATTATATATATATACCAGACAGATCCTTTGACACCGGTGTTAAAGAAAAAGTTTGACACCTCGTCTGAGAGCTGTTAGATTAAAAAAAATCAATGGTATCACATGCTTACATATCAGAATCGTTGATTTTTTTTAATCTAACGGCTCTCAGATAGGTGTCAAACTTTTTCTTTGACACCGGTGTCAAAAGATCCTGCCCTCTATATATATATATATATATATATATATATATATATATATATATATATATATATATTTAATGAACTAAGTTCAACTCAATACTCGTACTGAGTCAAATTAATATCAGTGGCTTCAAACATCAAATGAATTTTCGGGTACTATTAACTCAGTGGGGTGTTTTGCCTGTTTGAATTTTTTTTTTGAAGTTAAAAGTTACTCTTAAGTTAAAATTAATAAAAAAAAAATAAAAGTTATTGAGTGATTATATGAAAAATTTAGCTTAAAAATACATATTTCAAGAAAAGTTAATAAAAATTTTAAAAAAATTCCTAATAAGAGCTTTGGTTTTTGTTTTTTTTTTTTATTATAAATAAAGAGCTTCTTTTTATTATAAGAGATTTTCTTAAAATTTATTTGACCTAACTTCTGCTTATAAGAAGAAGAGAAACTAAAAATAAAAAGAAACAAGTACTTGATAAATTATTATTATTCGGGAAAACAACAATAAAAACCGTTTTGGAAAGAAAAGTCTAGTTTTGGGTTAAAATACGTCTACTACAAACAAAAATGGAACATTAATTGGGCAAAGGGTACTTAATAAATTATTATTATTCGGAAAAACAACAACAAAAACCGTTTTGGAAATAAATGTCTAGTTTTGGGTTAAAATATGTCTACTACAAACAAAAAAGGAACACTAATTGGGAAAAGGCAAAGAACATGCAACCTAGAAAAAAATGATAGAAAATATAGGAAAATGCTTAAAGATGTAGAAGTTGAGAAGCATATACCGGAAAAGAGAGACTTGGACGAGGGTGCTGGGCCACCACATATGGGCAGGCTCCACCACATACTTCCTCAGCAACCCCGCCCACCCGTACCCCAGTGCCTGCACCCACCACACCAACGAATAAATGTTGGTCCATCAGGGACACTCCAATCATTAGCATTCAAATAATGCCACAGCTTTAACTATGAAATTTTACATTAATTCAAGTATCCCAAAGTAAGTTTCATGTTGTATTATTTATCAAAAGTATTCTTTAAAATAAGTGCAATGTTTTTAGAAAATTGACTTTTAAGAAAAGGAATCATGTAATTGCCAAAATAAAAATTACTTTTTAACATAAGTGATTGGTCTCCCATTAAAAGTTCACATGATATCACTATTAAATTTTTTTGAAAGTAACCCTAGGTAGTTAAGTTGACAACTAAATTTTCAAATATTTACTTGAGTTAGTAGTTCAAATATTGTCTCAAGTAAATTCTTGAAAAAAATTTGGAAGCCAGAGAATGTAGAGGTAGCCTATAGTGCCGTACTTTGAGTACAAAATGAAAATGACCAGAGAAGGTTGAATGAGGATATTTCAAGTTATACCAAAAAAAAATTGAAAGTGGATTTTCTTACATTAAAAATTCACATAACTTGGTAATGTGAAATTTTTGTGTCTCTATTTACATCCATTAAATAAGTGGGATCTAATTATAATTTGTCAACATTAATGAAAAAAAAAGATAGATACAAAATTTTCGCAGGACCCTCTCATGAAATTCTAATATAAGATCTATTCCCAAAAATTGTGTGTTTATATCTGTATTCATAAATGTTCAACTATTTTAATAGAAGGGAATAATATTTTTCACATTATAAAAGATAATTTTATCTCCTACACACACATAAAAATGTATAGGTCCATGTTTTCTTTCTCTCTCTTCTTTCTACATGGCCCTATATGAGACCCACGTACTTTTATATATATATATATAAATATATATATATATATATAGGGATGGATCTTTTGACTCTAGAGTAAGACTTACAACTCTTATTTATTTGAATTTAATAATTAATTAATTAAGATAGATAACTGTTAGATGGACGAAAATCAACAGTTGAGATGAAGAGTAAGAGTTGTAAATCTTACTCTAGAGTCAAAAGATCACTCCATATATATATATATATATATATATGAGACAGGATCCTTTGACACCGGTGTCAAAAAAAAAGTTTGACACCTCATCCGAGAGCCGTTAGATTAAAAAAAATCAACGATTCTGATTTGTAAGCATGTGACACCATTGATTTTTGTTAATCTAACGGCTCTCAGATGAGGTGTCAAACTTTTTCTTTGACACCGGTGTCAAAGGATCCTGCCCTATATATATATATATATATATATATATATATATATATATATATATATATATATATATATAGTTAGAAACATTACTCCCTTAATAAATTCAGAACGAAGTAGATACAAAGTTTTGAAATAAAAACATATACACATCGTCAAAAACAACTCAACTTACTATGAAAATAACTAATTGCTATTTTGTTTCTAATAAAAAATAAAATCGCTGAAATAATAAAAAGATGACGAAAAAATAAAATAAAAAAAATGGTTGGGTAGTAAGATGCCTGAGTGGTAATGATGAGAAGCCACGAAGCCAGAAACGAGATTTTCCTTCCATAAAAAGCTTTTATGATGTTCACGATGCTGACAGCGAACGGCGACCCGGATCCGAATGCGCTCCCTGTTGGAAATCGACAATCACACAGAATCGAGAAAATAGAAAAAGAGATAAGAGTAGAGAGATTGACACGATGGTTCACCCAATATAGTACTATATTCACCTCACCGTCACTCGTTACAAGTCTCTCGGTTTACAAGGCAAATATAAATAGGATTACAAGAAACCCTAACAACAGCTATTCATGGGCCCAAGCCCAAACTGCTAAGAAAATTACAATAGAAACAGAGGCCTAAACATTACCTAGCCTCTACGGGCCTGGGGGCGCTGCCCCCGGACCCCCGCCCGCTCACCTGGGAGCGGGACCCCAGTTGCCTTTCTGCTGACCCCGACAATTAGGGCCAACATCTGAAGTATGAGCCATACCCAACACTCCCAGCATTGGCGAATATGGTGATGAGGACGTGCTCCTTCATGTTAAAGGGACCCGGATTGACCGAGAACTGTTTCGACCCGAACCCGGGGATCCGGAACGTAGTGGTTGGGAGGATTGAAGCCATGAGGTGGGCGAGGGGGAGTGTGGCGACCTGAACAGGGATTTGGGTTATGATGAGTGGCTCCGTTCGGTACGCGAAGAACTGGTTGAAGAAGGACAAGAGGGAACAGGATAACACACCCAAGAACCACATCCGAAAGGTCCAAACGGGTAGGGTCGGGTCGTCGGTGTTGGTCACCGTCAACCGCACTTCCTCAATTGGAGACTCCTCCTCTTTCTCTCCATCCATCGTTTTCATTTCTGGCTCTGCAGCCATGGAGTCCATTCACCTTAGCGTATTCGAATTTTGTTGTTCCTTGCTATATGTTACCGCCCTTAGCTTCTTCACACTTGATTAGACCCTTTATATTTTAAAATTTCGTCTACGCACTTATCTTGTGTAGTTTGGATTTGCCTGAAGAGTTTGGTTTGGTTATTTAACTATAACTTTTATAAGAGTTATGTTGTAAGAAAAGTAACTGTGTAATGTTATAGAGATACATCTTGTGTGCCTTAGTTTTTTTTTTTTTTTGCTTCAAAAAGTACGGACCCCACAAAATGTTGTATGTTGTATGTGTAGGAAACTTTTTTGTGTTCTGTTAAATGATAAATACAAACCCCTTTGACTATAGTGTAGCGTGGAAGGTTTCTTGTAAATATTATTATATTGTTATGTGTTTTTTAAATATATTTTGTACGGGAGAAATACTTCTGCTCTACTACAAAAGTATTTTCTTCCTTATGCAGTTTCAACAAAAAAAGGACCAAGAAAGGATTGAGCTTATTTTCTTCCTACATACTTCTGAATATGTCATTCTGAAAAAACCTTTCTTTGAAATTATTCCATACGTCAATGGCCTTATCCATTCATAGTATGGATTGAGCTATTGATTCATTTATTGATTTGTGGATCCAAGAAAGAACCATAGTGTTGCATCTATCCCATGCTGGAAATATTGATTCTCCTTCAGCAGGTACTACCAAGCTACCATCAACAATTGTTAGCTTGTTTTTAGATCGTAGTGCCATTTTCATTCCGCGAATCCAGGTATGATAATTTCTTCCTTTGAGAGGAGGAGATATTAATATCAATGAATGATTTTCATTTGGATGTTGGTAATATTGATTGGAAGAATTTGTTATGAATTCTGGAAGGTTTGGAATCGAATTTGTCATGATCACATTGAAAGAAAGAAGGAGAAGAAGAAACAAGAAGAGAACAAGAAAGAGGAATTATGCAGAATATCAGAGCTCTAATTGAGCTCTGATACTATCATAGAATCTTGTGAAACTGAATTTCTCATTGAATGAATTTTTAGTTTGTACATTACAGAGTCTTATATGTCAGTTATACATGAACAAAATTGGTATGGATAAAGCGGGAAAATAACTAATAGTAAGAACAAACTCTTAACTAGGTTCTAACTAACATAAAAGCTATACTGCCTCATATTGTTAATACTATGTCATGAGAGGATCTTAATTATACATGACAAATCAATGGTATGAGAGATAAAATATTAGGAAAAAAATATTGGGATATAAAATAATCAAGTTATTACTGTTAATTTATCTATAAATAATTGAAATCTTCTCACATGCTATGATCATATCAAATACTATGTAGGATGATTCAACTTGAGTTAGTTGGATTAAAATAAAAGGAGTTATGTTTTTTTTTTTTGGTATACAAAAGGCCTAAGCCACAAAACAAAGAAATAACATAAAATGACACCTAAGACCTAACTATTGCAACTCAAACTACGAGGTCTCTCAATAGTTGACAGATCAGTAAGCAACATTAATTGGATGCCAAGAGAAGGTTCCTGTCAAACAAGATAGTTTTCCTGCCTCTCATAATCTAATATGAAATTCGCCAACTAATCTCCACACGAGTTAGCCTCTCTCAAAATATGCTTGAAAGTCACAGAACGATTTTTATTCTTCCATTAAAGAGCAGAAGTTTGAAATTTCAACAGAAGATTAGCTGAAATATTATTTGTTATAATCATCTAAAAATACCGGAATTGTTTATCCTGGTAGTTTCAAAATCATCAACTAACAAGTGATTTGAGATTTGTGAGCTATGGTCGATATCTTTAGATGAGGAACAGAGGGATGAGGTAGTTGGAGAGAGATTTCGAAAAAGGAAAATCGATCGTCTCATGTATTTGTTTTATTGTAATCATGTTATATGATATGGTCTTAATTATTGATGAACAAATTGAAGGTGATAATTTTGTAACTCTCTATTCTAACATTTTTTTCTCTTATCCCTTATCATTATTGATTCACTTCTAATTCTCCCACATAACATAATCATATTAAATAATACATGAGAAAATTCACTCCTAATTCAAAGAGATACCTTTCATGACAGTGCCTATAAGCCCTCTAATGATTCTCCCGGCTTTTTATTGTATCAACTCTGTTCTTTTTTAATCTCTAAGACTAGTGTTTTTTCTGTACTATAATAGTACCAACATCCTTTCCAAACAGGGATACAAAATTAGGACTTAAAAGAAAAAGAAAAAGAAAATAGATTCAAATGAAATAAAACTTTCCTTATTTAGAAAAAAATCACCGAGTTGAGTATCCAAAAAAAATTCCCTCTAAGACAATAACTAAACTAAGTTTGCCGTTATCAACTTTTACAAAATACAAACGTATTCCAACATCATGTTATTCATCACTACATGTGTTAAAATATATGGAGTTTAAAGTTGATGTACTATTTTTCACCAAAAAAAAAAGAAAGTTGATGTACTATAATGTCCAATCATTTATTTCATACACGATTAGAATATTTAGATTTTGTAGGCAGTATTTGCATTAAGCCAAGTTTATTAAACTACTAAGGAAATGTTTTCTAGAATCATTCTGTTGCAAGTAGATCCCAGTTCAGATTAACCTGGTTAATTGAGGATATCTCTTGGGTTGGGTCACGAAATTGGGTGGAGCTTATCCACAAGTGTAGGCCCTGTTCTATATCCAATACAATCCAAAAGCGAGCCCAATTTTTGCATCCTTTATCCCTCAGTTTGGTGCTGATTTTAGTCCTCTAAAAAGACCGGATAGATATATGAGTATTTCAGAATTTAAAATAATTTTAACCAAAAAAAAGTTTAACATTACATATCAAAAATTTATTTAATAATTTAAAATTCTTACATAAGTAAAATAATATACCGAATCATATATTAAGTATAATTGTATTTTGTATACATGAATGATAGATATCTTTTAATAATTTTATTAACATTTATGTTCATTCATTAAACTATTCACTATAAAATAATAACAAAAAAATTTATAACTTAAAAATTTATGAATTTTTATTAAAAAAGAAAAAGAATCACGATATATAAAAGATAAGGAGTTTATATATGTAAATTATTATTTATTATTCCTCAAAAGGGGAAATTAATTATTTCAAAAATTAATTCTAATCAATCACGAGTAAGAAATTTCGTACAAGTACAATCATCTTATATTTAATTTAAAGCATATAGGAGGAACTAAATATTATTATTTAAAAAGTGTGAAGAGGTTACGGAACTCTCTGCTAGGGTTTGCGCCGCCATGAAAGTGTCCGATCAATCCGAACAATTTGCGCCATCAAAGGAGGAAGCTGACATCCTTCAACGGTCTACTAGAAAGAAGAAGAGGGAGGAAAGTGAGTTCAGCTGTGATCAAATTCTGAAGTCTAGAGATGAGGAGTGGATGCATGAGAGGATGTCTTACAAGGAGATGGTCTTGAGACATAATGGCGAGTGGAATCCCATGGAGGATCAATGTCCGGTGGAGGATGAAGACGCGCATGCAAATTTGGTGAATGAAAACCCTATTGAGAAACCATAGGTTACATGTGTAGTTGATGGAGATGGAAGGACCAATTTCTTGTTGTCTGACGAATTCAAACGAAAAGCGTGGCGTCCTTGGCATCAGGCGGTGTATGTGAAATTGCTAGGTAAAAAGCTTTTGCTCTCATTCATGAAGAAACGATTGGAAAACATATGGGCAAGAGAGGGGAATTTGTTGATTACTGATGTTGAAAATGGGTTTTTCCTAGTAAGATTTTCAAAGAAAAAAGATATGGAGTATGCCTCGACAGCAGGACCGTGGGTGATTATGGACCATTATCTGGTTATTCGATCTTGGGAGCCTGACTTTTAGCCATTCCAAGTTGAAATTAATAGGGTCATGGCATGGGTTAGACTTCCTCAGTTCCCAATCGAATATGTTAATACAGGTTTATTGAAGAGCGTGGGGAACTGGATTGGTAAATTCATCAAGTTATATGCTGCTACTACATCCTTAACAAGGGGCCGTTTTGCTAGGATTTGTGTGGGTTAGACTTGGGTGAGCCTCTCCAATCGGAATACAAAGTTGAAGGAAGATTGAAAAAGATAAAGTATGAAAGGCTACATATTGTGTGTTATTCATGTGGTCAATATGGACATAGAACTGAAAACTGTCCCAAAAGCATTAGTTTAAAGGAATCAGAGAACAAGGAAAATGCTCATCCAGTTGGTTTGGGTCATGAAGAAGGGAGTGGAGCTGGTCAATCACAAGATGTAGATGGTAATTATGGCCTTTGGATGCTTGTTACCAAACAAAGAGGTCCAAGGAAAATGCAGGTTCAGAAATTGGAGAATAATAGAGACAAAGTTACTCTGAATCAAAAAGGATTAGGGGCAAATGTATCTAACTTTGATGCATTGAAGATGGTGAATCCACGGAATGTTAATTTGGAGAATGTTGAGATTGTGAGGGAGACTCCTCTAGATCAGACTAAAGAGCTCAATACAAAGCCACATGAGAAGGAAAAAAGAGGCCAAAAAGACAAAGCTAAACTAATTGAAACCGCCACAACATATCAGTTGGTTTGGGACACTATCAAGGATACAGATGCCTACAATAAGGAAGGAAAGGTAGATAGTGTGGCAACTCTTTCTAATAAAACTAAGTCAAAACCTATTACTAAATGTCCAGAATCATGGGAATCAGAGGAAGGACTAGTTGTAGACGAGTAACCGTCTCTTGGAACTGAGGTTAATAAATTAATAGAGCCGCCTTCAATCCAAAATATTGTCTCACGGGGAATGGAAGAGATAAGTCAGCCTAATGACCAGCTTATGAATGATGTGGAGATTCCTCCTAATCCTAAACCACCACATCAATATAGGCGAGGACAGGAGCATAGTGACAGGCGGGAAATGGATTGCAATATGGTAGAGATTAAAGACAACCTTGTAGCTGTGAAGAAGGATCAGATTTTCTTTAAACATGTAACAAATTCCATTAGTTATTAATGAATATTCTTTTTTGGAATGTAAGAGGTGCTTCCAAAAGAGAATTGCGTGGTGCTTTAAAATCTATGGTTAGTAAAAATCATGTGGAGATTAATCCTCCTTGAACCTCGTACGCATAGTGGGGTGTGTAAAAAGCTGGAGCGAAAGCTTGGATTTGACCGTAATCTTGTGAAGGAAGCCGTCAGGTTCTCGGGAGGTATCTAGATCTTATAGAATAGTAGGAAGGTAGATGTAGTGCTTCTTGCCCAAGCTTCTCAGTTCATTCATTGTAAGGTCAGTTTTCCAAATGTACACTCTTTTATTTTTATTGCGATTTATGCTAATCCCCTTCAAAAGACCTGTGAACAGCTATGGAATGATCTCAAGAGTATTAGTGAATCTATCTCTGATCCTTGGGGGTGACTTCAATGAGATAGCATTTATTCATGAGAAGAAGGGAGGTGTGGCACCTGACCCTAATAAATGTGCAAAATTTGCTTCTATTCTCAATGAATGTCAAGTGGCAGATTTGGGTTGTGATGGATCTTTCTATACATGGCAAGGTCCAAAATGGGAAAGCATGGGCAGAATTTTCAAGAGGCTGGACAGAGTGGTGGCTAATGTGTCCTGGAGAATGAAGTTTGATGAAGCCAGAGTGGTTTCTCTTCCTCGTCTACTATCAAATCACAACCCTTTAATGATCAAATTATTTGAGGAAGTTAATGATTAAAGGCAAGAGACCGTTTTGTTTCTTCGCTGCTTGGCAAGAACATCACAATTTCAGTGACTTTCTTAAATCAAAGTGGGAGCAGATTTTGATCTTCCGTATATGCCTCAAAGGCTAGTACCCGAAATCAAAATTTGGAATATAAGGGTCTTTGGTATTATTGAAACTAAGAAGAACAACATTATTAGGAAAATTGCTAGCATACAAAAAAGATGTGAACAATTTGACACAAATCATCTGAAACATGAGGAGGAGAAATGCCAAAAAATGCTGACTAATGTACTTAGAGAAGAAGAGCTATTATGGCATCAAAAATCAAGACAGAAGTGGGTGAGTGATGGGGATAGAAATACTCATTTTTATCTTTTGAGCATAGTGTTGAGAAGAAATGTGAATAAAATCTCCAAACTTAAAGTTGATGCTAATGTTTGGGTGTCAGATTCTAATGATCTCCAATTTTTAGCTTGTAATTTCTTTAAGAATCTTTTCACAAATGATATTGAAAAAAGAAGGTGGATTACGTCTGGTAATTTATGGCCAGTACTTTCCTATGAAGATCATGAGGGTCTTCGAAGATCCCCCAGCGAGCTGGAAATTAAACAAACCATTTTTAAGATGGTTGCTCTCAAAGCTCCTAGCTCTGGTGGTTTTCCAGCTATCTTTTACCAAAAGAATTGGCAGCTGATTAAGTCTCAGGTTTGTACATTGGTGAATCAAGTTTGGAGATACCTTGAATTATTGGCATATGTGAACTCCACTCTTCTAGTGTTGATCCCGAAAGTTCAATCCCCTATGCATATCTGCCAGTTTCGCCTTATCTCGCTCTGCCCGGTTATTAATAAATTTATTAGTAAGCTCATAATGAATCATCTAAAGCCTATCATGGAAAAAATGGTCTCTCATGCTCAAAAAAGTTTTGTTCCTAATCGTCATATTTAGGGTTGGAAAAACGGGCCAACCCGGCTCGACCCGGCCCAACCCGCATTCAGCCCGAAAAAAATGGGTCGGGTCGGGTTGGCTCGAAAAAAAAAACGAGCCAAAAAACCCAACCCGGCTCGACCCGAGCCGGGTTAGGGTTGGCTCGCGGGTTGGCTCGATAATCAACTTGCGGGTTGGCTCGTAAAAAAGCTCACGGGTTGGCTCAAAAAAAGCTCGCGAGTTAGCTCGAAATGATGCTAGTGGGTTGGCTCGCGGGTTGGTTAGCTCAAAATATTGGCTAGCGGGTTGGCTCAAAAAATTTAATTTTTGTGGTTTGTTCTCCTGTATAAAATTATTGTATTTTGCAGTCCAACTACAAGTAGAGTAGTTTACAAAATCCAAAAACATTAAATGAAACACAAACCACTCCACGAATCACAGGAGTCATTTATCATGATTTTCTGAATTACTCTAACTCACGATAACCATAAAACGTATGTAAAGCCAAAAAATAAAAAATAAAAGAAATCCATTATATATTTCAACGATAAGCATCTAGAATCAAAAGCCAATCATGAAAAAAAGGACCTGCAAAAGCGACCAATATAGTAAAGTCCATCAGTGGAGAATCCATCAGTAAAGTCCATTGTATTTTATTAAAAAAAAAAAAAGAGTAACCCGCAAGCTGGCTCGTTCAACCCGCGAGCTGGCTCGTTTGAGCTCGGGTTGGCTCGGGTCGGGCTAAATCGAGCTGGCAGCTCATTTTTGCCAACCCAACCCGGCTCGTTTTGTGCGGGTTACGAGCCAACCCGACGGGTTGGCTCATTTTTGCCATCCCTAGTCATATTCAAGATACTATAATTGTGGTACAAAAATTAGTCCACTCTATGAGAAAAATGCGGGGTAGAAAGTGTTTCATGGTTATCAAAGTGGATCTAGAAAAAGCATACGACCAGTTAAATTGGAATTTCATCTGTAATGTTATGGAAGAAATCCAGATTCTGAATACAATTCTTGAACTGGAAATGGTAGCAGTAACATCATCCAAGACTGCAGTGATTTGGAATGGGAAAGTAACTGAGGAATTCCAACCGAGTAGGGGTGTTAGGCAAGGTGATCCTTTGTCACCGTACCTTTTCGTTCTAGCCATGAAAAATCTCTCTTATATAATCAGCACTGCTGTCAGCGAAGGATTGTGGAAGCCTATCCGGGCAGCAAAAAACGGGCGCTTAATCTCACATTTACTCTTTGCGGATGACCTGATGATTTTCGTAGAAGCAAGTGAGGATCAGATTCATGTTCTTCTCCAATGTCTTGGTCTGTTTGGGGAAATTTCTGGTGAAAAGGTGAGAGAGCAAAAAACCACTGTGTTCTTTTCCAAGAATACTCCGAATGATATAGCTAACAAAATCATAGATATTAGTGGTTTTAAGCGAGTAACAAATGTGGGGAGATGTCTTTGGCGATGATTCAACAGGGCCGCGTGACAAAGAATATATTCTATGGAATTATTGATAGAGTTAAATAGAGGTTGTCTGCGTGGCATAGGCAATCCCTTTCTCAAGCGGGTAGAGTAATTTTATCTCAGTCAGTTTTATCTATGATGCCTTTCTTTCATATGCAGAGTACTATGAACCCAAAATTCGTTTGTGAGGAGTTAGAGCAGCTTCAAAGATGATTCATTTGGGGAGATTCAGAGGGAAAAGGAAATTTGCACCTCATTGCATGGGATAAAGTTAATAAACAAAAGAATGTTGGAGGTTTGGGCATGAGGAAGTTATCAAGAATGAATGAGGCATTCATGGAAAAGCTGATTTGGTCCTTTTTAAATAGGCCAGATGATCTTTGGGTCAAGGTTCTACAAGCAAAATACAGCAGTCTTATAAATGGTCAGGAGGAGTTTGTGTCGAAACGTGGTTTCTCCAGACTCTGGAAGGCTATGGGTGACGTTTGGCACAAACTAAAACCCAGATTAATTTGGGATGTTGGGGATGGTTATTCTGTTAATTTTTGGGAAGACAAGTGGTTGGAGCATGATCAAAATCTGGCCAGCAAAGCTATAACTCCTATACCACAGACAGAAATCCATAAAAATGTTATGAATTATGTGAGTCTAAATGGAGAGTGGAATACAAATTCCATGCAGCAATTCCTATCAAAGGAGGTTATTCAGGTTATTAGAATTTTTCTTCCGCCTCATGCATCTAATGGGATTGATAAAATCTGTTGGTACCTTGGGGGATCAAATGGGAGTACAGTCAAACAAATATGTTTTGCTCTAAGGGAACATGATGAGATTATCATGGAGGAACGAGAGATTTGGCATCACATTTGAAATATTAAAAGACCAAGTCAGATTAGTTTGTTTCTTTGGAAAATGGCTCATCATCGTTTACCAACTAGAAGCTGGTTAGCAAATTTGAGGTTAGCCCCTGTTACGTGCCCTTTATGCAATGTGGAAGATGAAAGTATCCTTCATATGGTCAGAGATTGCAGCAACATGAAGAAGGTATGGTTGGAACTGGTGTACTCAAATCTGATTCCTGAATTTTTTAACCATGATTTTGATAGATGGTTGCTGGAAAATTTGAAAAAGAATCTTATGTGAGATTCAATGCTCCATGGACCTTAATTTTTGTAATGGTTGTGTGGATGGCTTGAAATTGGAGAAATTCAATTGTTCACGGTAATGAGACAGATGAGCACGCCTACAAAGCTCAAACAATTAAGCTTAAAGTTTGGGAATTCTTTGACTGCTGGAAAATGAAACAAGGCTTCAAGAATACAAGGCTTCAATTATTTTTTTATTATGATTTTTGTTTCTCTAGTCATAAAGCACAATAATTTTAATTAAAATATCATTATATATTTTTCAAAACGACAAATGAATCCCATAAAAAAAAAAATAATAAAACGATTTTTGGGTGTCTTGAAGACCACGAAATAACGAATACGAATACGAACCCTTATTTTCCACCTTTCATCTCCATCATTCCTTTCGTCACCACAAAAACCCTAAACCCTTATTTAAAACCTAGACCCCTTTTTAAAACCTAAACCCCTTCCTTCATTCCCGATCCAACTCCACAACCTTCATCTCCGATCCACAATGGCCGCCACCACCGCCTTGCTCCGTTCTGTCCGACGCCGCGACCTTGCCTCTTCTTCTGTCTCTGCCTTTCGATCGGTACATCACCGCACTCTCTTTCTGTTTCATTTCATTCTCCATTTTTACTCTTTCTTATGAAGGTAGTGAATCATTTTGTGGCTTATGTTCAGATTTTTGGTCAAGCTGTTAAAAAATATTATAACTTTATAGTTTTCGTATTAATTTTTAAGATTTGTGTGATGTGGCTCTGTGTTCTGTCGTTATGTGGAACCTTGTTTCAAAGGTAAAAACCACTTATGGGAAATAGAAAATAAAAATTAACTCAGCCGATAATACGTACTACTAGATCTTCGATTTTAGTAGAAGATAGAAGCACTCGTCACTTTTCGTGTTACTGATTATTGGGTCATGTATTAGCTCAAACTTTTGCTAGATTATCTTCTTCTTCTTTTTCTGTGCAACTGTCTTCACTGTTACTCACTTACAAGTATGGGATGCTATTATTTTGTTGCATTTAATCTAATATTTCATGATTGACAATTTTTGAATTGCTTCTGACCTTGTAAATATCATGGCATCATTCGTAGAATTGTGATTGTTGGAATTGTATTTGTCATATGTGTGGTGAGCATTATTCAGAAGTTAATTTTCATTTTCTTTCACATGGTGTACAGTTGACGGGCAGCACTAAGACATCATATATAGGCGACAAGTGGGCAAGTTTGTCTCGACCATTCAGGTGCCTTTTGTTGTTTCGTTTTCATAAGTGTTTCCCTCATGGTCATAGAGAGAGATATATATGGTACTTCCAATCTCTTGTCAAATTTAATCATTGTAAAATTTCATCCTCGCTGCAGTTCAAAGCCTGCTGGTAATGATGTCATTGGGATTGATTTGGGTACTACAAATTCATGTGTTTCTGTTATGGAGGGGAAGGTTAGACTTTCTTTCTCTTAATTTGCTTGGATATGTTTTCAGTACATGGTTTCTGGGTTGACTAATATTTATATCGTTTCCAGAATCCTAAAGTTATTGAGAATTCTGAAGGAGCTCGAACGACACCATCTGTGGTTGCCTTCAACCAGAAAGGAGAGCTGCTTGTAGGTACACCAGCCAAGCGTCAGGCCGTGACTAACCCAACAAACACTCTTTTTGGCACCAAGCGTTTGATTGGTAGACGCTTTGATGATCCTCAAACTCAGAAGGAGATGAAGATGGTGCCATTCAAGATTGTTAAGGCACCCAACGGAGATGCATGGGTTGAAGCCAATGGGCAGCAGTATTCCCCCAGCCAAATTGGTGCTTTTGTTCTCACCAAGATGAAGGAAACTGCTGAATCATATCTTGGAAAGTCAGTTTCAAAAGCTGTAGTTACTGTACCGGCGTACTTCAATGATGCTCAGAGGCAGGCAACAAAAGATGCTGGTAGAATTTCTGGTCTTGATGTCCAGAGAATTATCAATGAGCCCACTGCGGCTGCCCTTTCGTATGGGATGAACAACAAGGAGGGTCTCATTGCAGTTTTTGATCTTGGAGGTGGAACATTTGATGTCTCCATCTTAGAAATTTCTAATGGTGTTTTTGAGGTATGAACATTTATTTCTTCTGTCTTCCTTTCTTAACCTGTCATAAGGAATAATGCTGGAAATTTTTACTAATAACATCTTGTCCAGGTGAAAGCAACTAATGGCGACACCTTCTTGGGAGGAGAGGATTTTGATAATGCTTTATTGGACTTTCTAGTGAGTGAATTCAAAAGAACTGAGAGCATCGACCTCTCAAAGGATAGGCTTGCCTTGCAGAGGCTAAGGGAAGCTGCTGAGAAAGCTAAGATAGAACTGTCTTCAACATCTCAAACGGATATCAATCTTCCTTTCATCACTGCTGATGCATCTGGTGCAAAGCATCTGAACATCACATTGACCAGATCCAAGTTTGAGGCTTTGGTAAACCACTTGATCGAAAGGACAAAGGCACCATGTAAGAGCTGCTTGAAGGATGCTAACATATCTATCAAGGATGTTGATGAGGTTCTTCTTGTTGGAGGGATGACCCGCGTGCCTAAAGTCCAGGAGGTGGTTTCAGAGATCTTTGGAAAAAGTCCTAGCAAAGGAGTAAACCCTGATGAGGCAGTTGCCATGGGAGCAGCTATCCAGGGTGGTATCCTACGTGGTGATGTTAAAGAGCTACTACTCCTAGATGTGACTCCACTTTCTCTGGGTATTGAGACTTTGGGTGGTATCTTTACGAGGTTGATCACTCGCAACACCACAATTCCTACCAAAAAGAGTCAGGTATTCCTTAAATATTGATGATTATTTAAGACAATTTTTTTTTGTACTCGGTAGGTTCTAAGTTAGTGAATTCAGTATTTCATAAGTAATGTAACATTGAAATCATACGGTTATATGCTTAAATGCTTAATTGAAATCCCCTGCAAGGTATCTTACAAACATTCAAGTAGTAAAAAAAGAGAACCACAGCAAAAATTTCTCCTCTCATTTTTTGTTTTTTTTGTTTTGTGGGGTGGGGGAAGCTGGTTTAGTAATTTCAAAAGTTAGCCTATTCAATTTTATTGAATGTATTTTTAGCTATTTGGTGCAGTGTATTCCTAACTTGTGATATGGTTGTCTCAGGTGTTTTCAACAGCAGCTGACAATCAAACTCAGGTTGGTATAAAGGTGCTACAAGGTGAGCGGGAAATGGCTGCTGACAACAAAATGCTTGGAGAATTTGAGCTTGTTGGCATTCCTCCTTCCCCACGAGGTATGCCTCAGATTGAAGTCGCATTTGACATAGATGCTAACGGGATTGTTACTGTCTCTGCCAAAGACAAGTCCACTGGGAAAGAACAACAAATTACCATCCGTTCATCTGGAGGACTCTCAGAAGATGAGATTGATAAGATGGTTAAAGAAGCGGAGTTGCATGCGCAGAGAGACCAAGACAGAAAGGCTCTTATTGACATCAAAAACAGTGCAGATACAGCCATCTACAGCATTGAGAAAAGTTTGGGTGAGTACAGAGATAAGATTCCCACTGAAGTTGCAAAAGAGATTGAAGATGCTATTTCAGATTTGAGGAAAGCGCTGGCAGGGGACAATGCTGATGAAATAAAGTCAAAGCTTGATGCTGCAAACAAAGCTGTGTCCAAGATTGGAGAACACATGTCTGGTGGTTCAAGTGGCAGTTCCTCGGCTGGAGGTTCTCAGGGTGGTGAACAGCCTCCTGAGGCAGACTACGAGGAGGTCAAGAAGTGAGACATTTAGGTGTGGTTTTGTAGCATTTATTTCTTCATATTAATCATCACATAATTACGAGAAGAATACAAGGTTACTTCTTGTTTGTATCTAAAGTTGAAAGCCATTTTTTACTAGACGGCTCTTTAATTTATAGTGTTTCTGGAGTACTCAACGGGGCTGTTTTAGCAACGATATCGGAATTTATGCATAAATTTTGTTCTCTGCTTGTGATTGGCTGTTATAGTATTTTTCACTGTGATTGGAGATTTGCGTATGCTTGTTAAACTACTAACGAAGAAAAGATGCTTGAATGACACATGTATATGTTCCTGAACACAACTTCATAGTCACACTTTCCTTTGCATGGTCCCTCGTTCTCTGCTTGTCCTATTACTCTTGTTTTACTGTAGCAACAGCTAGGGCTAACTTCGAAAATATGTTTCAACAAAACCTGTAACGGATTGCTAGCAGCAATTAGTCAAGCTTTGGTTGATTAGAAACCTTGTCGGAACTCGGATGAAAGTTTTTTAGTTCAGATGTATTTGTAGCCAACCCAAGTTCCATAACGCTATATTCTCTTGCTCATTCAAAATGCAAGGTTTATTAAGATTCTCTTTTGTAAAATATCATAAGGGAAAAGATATTTTAACAACTAATTAGAGTTAGTATTAATATTACTATCAATCAATTTTACGATTAGATTAATTATGTTGATTCAATAGTTATATTTATTTTCATCTTTATATGATTATGATTCCTCATATTTAATACTTTATATTTATTTTTGTCTTTATATGTTTATGATTTTTCATATTTAATACTTTTACATTAAATATGAAAAATCATAACTATATAAAGATGGAAACAAATATCACCATGAAATTAATTGGTACTAACATTGATAGTAACCCTAATTGATTGTTACGATATTCTACTTATATCATAAATACAATAAAACTTCAGGACATAAAGTTTGTAAAGTAGATTGGACCAAGATTATTAAATCAATTAAATTGTGAATCGGGAAACTAAATTTAAAAAATTAGTTTGAAATTATCCTATAAATTATGTAAAATACAGCATTTGATGTTAGGAATTAAAAATTGACAAAATGACTTCCCGGTAAGTCTAAAAACATAAAATCGTAAGTCGTAACTGAATCACAAAAAGTGATTGTATGAAGTTTATGTCAGTGAATGAGTGACTGTATGAACAAAATAACTTCACCGCAAGTCTAAAAACATAAAATCATAAGTCATAACTGAATCACAAAAAGTGATTGTATGAAGTTTATGTGAGTGAATGAGTGACTATATGAAGCCTTTGTTTCAAAAGAATGAAAAGCAAAGCAATAGAACAGTCAAATAACATGCATACAGTGAGAGAGTTTGTGAAGCCGCTATTATAGGATACATAGAATGAGTGTATGCCCCTATTTCAAACAATGAAAATATGACAATTGAATAATCAAATAGGTGCATTCAATGGCTTTATTTTAATTCTTTTTTTATTTAACAAGTTTAACATATTTGACTTTGCAATTTTTTGTATGAGAATTAATTATACGGAATAATTCGTATCGGTTACAATCGCACCAATTCATGTATATATGGCTTTATTCATCACTTGATATGAATCCTTGGCTTAACAAATCATATCGAATCGTAAATCATGATACTTCTATAACTATAAATTGGACATTGATGGTTTAATACCTGCAAAATACGTGTAGATGGAGAAAAAAGGTGTTCCGAATAAAATATAGGCCCAACCAGGGCCTAATAACACATGGAAACCCAAGTCCATTAAAGACCCAGAACAAAGCACAAGAAACAAGCACGGATGCGATGCCCATATCGCGGCACATCAGTCGCGACGCGATGGCCTCATCGCGGCACGCGACTCTCACCTCGCACGTGATGCCTTCTATAGGAAGTAAACTTAAGGCCCAAGGTAACTCGCCTCATCGCGGCTCGCGACTCTCACCTCGCATGTGATACCTTCTATAAGAAGTAAACTTAAGGCTCAAGGCAACTCCACCGCGCCTTAGCACCAGTAAGCAACAGACAGCTCCAGCTCGCCACAACTCTACTACTAGACACTATGGAAGATATGGCTACAACAGGTCCCCTGTCTGACCTGCAGCCCAAGGCTGACCACTCAGAAGCCATGCGCCTTACAAAAGGCGACATCACAACTACTTTATAAACACACGATATACCACCAAGGTACGATCATTCTTTACCTTCACAACATAAAACACTTGTCTCTGATACTGATTTAAGCATCGGAGTGTCTTCGCAGGTACCCCCATTTGGTGCAACGTGAAGGACAAAGGGCTCAAGCTTGTTCTAACAGCAGTACCTGACCCAGGCCAATAACCCCTGAAGTAGTCTCAACTGTGTGTGATTGGGCTCAATACGTATCGGACAGTCCATGCCGTATTTGGTCTGATCAAAAGGAATGGAGCTAGAATAGCGAACCTAGTAGTGGTAAAATTACAACACGATTAAAGTATTGTCTCTATTTTAAAAATAATTCAAAATTAATATTTATTTTTTAAAAAATAAATATTAATATACTGTACCTCCTCAACTATAAACTTGTATTAGCTAACCTAAAAAAAATTTAGTGTCACTAAACTCCCTTTAAGTATAGTCCACAATTAAAACTATCGTTTTTCTAAAACCAAAGTACACTGCATTTGATTTTCTTCCTCTCTAAGCACCATGACAAGCACCTTCACAACGTCAATCGTGGAAAAAAAAGAAGTAAATTATTCATAATCGATTAGATATCAAACACAGTGAAATTTTTAAGGTACTCTCGTCGTACGGAGGAGACAAAAAAAAAAAATTATTCCAAATGTTATTTTTTGAATGAGAGACGCGCATATGACCAGTGCACTTAACAAGCATTCCAAGACAGAGACTCGTATTAAACAAATGACAACAAAAAATCAAAAAGTGTTAACAAAAACAGAAAACATAAGAGAAGGTAGCAATGGAAACTAATAAAATTACCAAACCTGAAAATGTGAACTACTCAAACAGCAAATAAATGAAAGATCAATACACACGGTCCATGAATCAATATTTTGAACTAAGACTTTGTGCACATCACAAACAAACGGGCATCCTTTAGTTAAAAAATTTGAATATTACCTGGCATATGATAAGTGCCAACTAAAAATCATAAAGCTTGAAACAAAAGACAACATTTTTCCTGAAAAATTTGTGATCTATAGTTTCCCCTTTAAATTGAGGGATTAATATATGGGAAAAAGAAGCATCCTTTTGAATGACACAAGCTTGTGTCATTTTAGGTGTTTTACACAAAGTACGACCAGTCGTACTTTGTGTAAAACTGAAAAGTTGCTTTTTTTTCTCTCTCCCAGTCGTATCGCTGACGTGTAAAGTGAAAAAAGTAATTTTTCAGAATTACACATAGTACAATCGGTCGTATTCTGTGTAAATCATTAAAATGACACAATTTGTGTACTTTCGAATGACACACACTAAACCCTTAATATATATGACGTTGTAGAAGATAATTTTATTTTCTACGTATATAAAAGTACGTGGGATTCATATTTTCTTTTTCTCTTTCTTCTTTTGATACGAGCTCAAGCTTGTGCTCCCTTTCCAAAAATAAGGGGGAAAGGATTGGGAGATAATTTAGAAGAAAAGATGAGATATAAATGGGAGAAAATATTTCCTTTTTTTGGTAAAGGACCACCAAAATTATTGTGCCCTTGGAGCACATGAAAAAAATCTCTTGATATGATCTCACATAGGCCTCACACACTTTTATATATATAGAAAATAATTTTATTTCCTATAATACATCGAACTCTTGAATTGAACTTGAAAGCTTGAACATTAGAGAACCCCAACATTTAATTCCACTAGAGCCATGAGCTAGAAGAAGCAAGCCCAAACACCAACGAGAACAAACCTATGAAGAAGAAAGAAACTTCTGCTAAGCCCATGGAGACTAAGAAGCAAAGGAAAGCTTTGGACAAGGAGAAACATCCCTAGCTGAAGCTTCCAAGGACTTGGCCAAGAAACTGCTGACGTAGTTGCAGCAAGTTCAGAATGCTGATGATGATAACAACGATGAGTGTGAGGTATGCTCTTCGTAGGCTTAGTTCTTAGCTTTTCTTCATCAAGAAAGCAGCCTGTTTTATACATCATGTTTCCTTGCTTTCTTGGTGCTTTTGTTGGTATCAGTTAACTCTTGCTCATTTGATGTTTCAAATTTTCTTGCTGAGTTATTCTATCATGACATCTTTTTTTGTTGATTTTACTCTAAGGTTTTACTTTAGGTTTAACCCTTTTAGCTGCTACTGTCCGTAACATCAGAACTGAACTTGTAGTGGATTTGTTGGAAGTATCTTTACCAATGAAGGGTCAACTAGGAGCTTTACTATTATGGGTTCTTACCTATACTTTGTCTTGGTGGGTACTACAATCTGTATTCCTTCTGAACATTGAGAGAATTTTAACATTGTTTGGCATGACTTACTCCATCCTTTATGTCTTTTAGGTTACCTAATACTATTTTGCAAGAAAAAGATGATGCGTCAACGCAAAGAATGTTCAATCTTTCTTTGAAATAATTTGTAAAGAAACAATTTAACCCAAAAGCTTAAGTTGTTAGGTTACATTAATGGTTTTATATATCTTTAACACGCCCCCTCACACGAGAGCTCACTGGACTTGGAGGGTGGACAATGCACAGGCCTAACTACTTATGTTAAGAAACTCCACAATACTTAATTAATTATTAATTAAATAGGAGCGGTGAGGATCTAACCCGTGACAGCGAGACTCTGATACCAGGTAAATAATCAATTCAACTCGAAAGCTTAAACTATTAGGTGAGGTTACATTTATATATCTCTAATATAATTATTGAAGGATCCCTTCTCTTATCTCATGACAGTAAACTCTTAGCTTTTGATGTTATGTTTCTTCTTCCTCAAGAGCTGCCTGCATCTTTAGTTCGAATAGTTCTGTCCAACAAAGTTGTTCAGTGCCTGATGGATATACTATCGACAAAGAATACTTGGCGATATAAAATTGCACAGCATTTTCTTGAACAGTTGTCAGATTGGATTGGGAATGAATCGAATGATGATATCTAGAGAGTTGCCGTTATTGTTGCTATATTGAAACACAGCAGCGGAAAATTTGATTGTATCACATGGAAAAGAGTTGTTAAAGATTTGACAGAATAGTTCAAAACAGAACCTGGTTGCATGCTTTTTATTCCGAACTTGATGAAGGTAATGCTTTGGAGGAACCTTCAGACAAGAGTCAAACAACAGATGAAAATTTTGAAATAGGTTCAATTGAGTATAAGGATTCTCCTAGGACCAGTGGGAATTCTGACTTCTTGAAGAGTTGGGATATATAATCTTTTCTCAGTATTTTGATTCTAACAGACTGCATTCACTGAGGTACCTGTTTATCAAGTTGCTCCTGCAAGTGGTTCTTCGACCAGGAGAATACTCTGAAGCGGCATTGAACTCATCGTATGTTGTTGGAATGATTTTTCTGCTTTTGATCTTCCTTAGTTGATGGAAGATGATTTGGAGGTTGATACTGCACCAGAGTTGAAAGATGTTGTTGTGGATACATTACTCTAGGCTTTCATATTCATCAGCTTCTATGTGGAGTTCGATCGAGCAGGTAAGCTTGAGAAATGCAATGTTTATCTTTTTCCTTGCAGCCTTATAAGTCAAGTAGATTGTATTACCGATTGGTATTACTCAGTGCATGCAGTGGATTGGGATACATAAACTGCACCTGAAAATGTATGGGGCAACATGTGAAGCTCATGTTTGGGGTAGGAAGCAATTCTTGATTTTAGTTTCCTAGGACCAAGTTAGCTGTCCAAATGGAAATGGAAATGGAAATAAATAACTGAATCTTTTGGTTCCTTTTGGGTACTCAAGAAAATTTCTTGTACTTTCATATTTCAGCCATACATAAACAGCTATATTGTATTGACAGTATGAGATCAGTTTAGTTTTTTTTTTTTTTTTTTCCTTCCATTCTGGGGCCTTATATAAATGAAAGATATTATGAAATGCCAACCCAAAAAAAAAAAAAAAACTTTGCTTGCGCAATGCCTGATATAGGCCTAGTGAACTTGCATAACAATCGAACCATTTTATTTACGTGTTTTCACATGTTTGTTATGTTACATAACCTAACTCTATTTTTTAACACACATCAAAAAGGTGGGATTCAAATATTTTTTTCTCTTTTTCATCATTTTATTTTCTCTATCTTCTTTATTGTATGTATAGAAAAGTGAAGTTAGATTATGTAACATAACAAATATGAAACTCATCATTTATAAGTGATATAAAGAGCCTTTCAGAATAAAGGGTGGGCACTGGAGCAATATTTTATTCTACAAATAGCCAAATATCAGAGAACCATACACTCCAACCGAGTTTTTGAATTGCATACTATCTTGCTTTGTTGGTGTTTAGTGTAGCTTCCTCTAATTTTCCTTGTAAATTTTAAGTTCCTTAAACGCAATCTTTTGTTTTTGCATATGCGGGGATACAAGCTACTTGTAATAATACACCTCAATTTGTTTGGTCAGGCAGTTTCTGAATCTGACTTCTCTTTAATACTTTCAAGTTGTTAGTGCTCATCTTGATTATCTCGTGTTTTCTATGCTAATGCAATTCATGAAGCCTGTGTTAACTGAGGGACTTGTTAACAGCATGGTTTTTTTCTTCTCATCTGGACACTTCAGTTGAGTCGAACTATAACGAATGGTATTGATATTCGATCCAATATAGTTAATGCAATATCTTAGCTACTTGGTTTAAATATGAGATATATTTATTTATGTGAGATTATTGATAATTGGGGGAGCTATATACTTATATGACATAGTATACAGTTAGTTGTACTTTAGATACGTTGAAGTACTTATATTATGTCGAAGCTACAGTTGATTCTGATGGTGAGATGGATAATAATGCAATGTTCATAATGTATACATATCTTGCCCAAATTTTCAATGAGAATAAAAATCATTTACCAAAAATAAAAAATAATAAAAATCAGGCTGGTGGTGAAACTGCACATTCCCATCTTGTTGAAATTTTTTTGGATAATTTACATGAACTTGTCATGTAAAATTTTTATATCTATGTCTAAATATTCCGAGTATACTATGCATTATATTATTATTTTTTTAGCTATGGACCAACTTTATGTTTTTTATGCTGTTTTTCTCCGGGTGTGCAACATCATAATAATAAAATTTGTGCATAAAAAATTTAAGAACTGGCCTGGATTGAAAGTTGAGTGCTACATGTGGCAATGATTTTGCACCAACTTGGTAACCAATTCTTTAAATTGAAGAAGCTGGAAAAATAACACTGGAATGGGGGATTGCTGCCAAATCCTGCTTAAAGAGATCTCTGCCACAGTTGCTCTCACTTTTCAGAGACTAAAACAAGCTACAAACACAATGTTGTTATGCTTGAAATTTAATTTTTCCTTCAGCACTAGTATAATGAGACTAATCTTCCGAATTCTCTTCAAGATGACTTGTTCAAGCCCTTGTTTCAGGGTCTTAGAAGACGGGGAGAGAGGCTTACAGGAACATCCTATAGAGGTGTTTGCTGATGGAATTTTGTTGGTGGAACTTCAATAACTTATTTTTCATTTTTGCACTGTCTTGTGTGTTACATGTAACATTTTTTAGTAGAAAGAAAAACAACTTGTTAAAATAAAATAAAATAATAATAACATATGCTCTTTAAATTTCACTTTCTTTGAACTCATTATTCAATATATAAATTTATTTCTCAGTTCATCATTACCTGACTTAATCAAGTTCGAGTACTGATGGCGGAGGTAGAAGAAAAATTCAACCAGTGTCAAAATAAAATACTCATCAGGTAGAATTCAGCCAGTATCATAATTGTATTATTTTTAAAAACTCAATCAGTACTAAAGTTGTATCATAATTTTTAAAGAAAATTCATACCATTTTTTAAAATTAGCGGGTGCCAAGACACGGGCTGGCATACAAGTGGCTCTGCCACTGGAGTATGGTCTTGAAACCTTTAATTAAGTAAATAAGTTTGTTACCATTTTAATCATTCAGTATAATTTTTAATACAGATTTCTTTAACAATTCAGGCAGCAACTCATTCGTTTAAGCATCAGCATCATTGACAATTGAAATCTTGACTGCCTATGTATTTGGTATAAGAATAACTAGAAAATGGTTTTCCTCAATTCCATCTGCGAAAGGCGTGTTACACCAGAAGATTGTAATTTTACACCTTTTTTCCCCCATCAATAGGCTTCTTGGATATAAGTTATAACTTATTCCACCGCAAAGACTTCTTGGGTATAACCTTGACTTATCCATTATATGTTATATTCAAATGTGATAAGTATCTCATTAGTTGATAATAGATTAAATGAAAACAAGTTGAATATTAAGGTTTCAAAGACTAGAATATTCCTTTGCAGTACTATGCAAGTTGTGAAGCTATTGTTTTTCAATATACTGTGAATGCACACTTAATAAATCATGACTGAAATCATATTCTCACGTTGGAAATTATTTTCTTATGTTGTTAAGCATCGAAATCCGTGTTATATTTTTATTAATCCATGTTATTTTTTTTATTTTTTTATGTTATCTCATGCTATATGAGAAAAGAGAAACCCTTTATTAAAATAAAAAAAAAACTATTATTGATCGAATTCCACAATAATAGTTCATTGTTGTTATGATTATCCCCCACAAAGTTCATTGTAGTTATGTTTGCACAATTTATTCTCATCTTGCACTCATCGGACATAAGCAAAGATTACTTATATGTCACGTTAAAGTACATTAAATGGTTCAAATAAAGTGGCAACTTTTTTTTGAGGCAAGGAGCCAGCCCAAGCCGTCAATCCAGGCACCCCTTGCTCCCGAAACCAAATGATTTATCTATTATGATTCCCAACACCACACACACACACAGAGATAAATTTGTTTGAAGTACATTTGAGAATATTCAAGGGATTTGGATGTCTAAAAATATCTTTGAAGCTCGATTCTTTAGAGAAATTTAAGTACATATAAGAATTCAAAAGCTTAGAAGGCTAAAAATATCTTTACAAGCACGATTCTCTAGAGAAATTTGAGATTAATAATGCCAATTCACATTTCATATTGGGCTTTATTAATCTTATGTTGTAGGAGAGAAGTTCTCTCCTACCATAGAGACTACCATAGAGACAATCATGGGTGAGGTCCACTCATTTATAAAAAATAAAAAAATAAAAATTAAACTACATGAAAATCAATGAATGTGTAAGAAAGAGTGTTATCTTATGTTGCATAAGAATAATATTTCCCTTTCATATTCTAAATGATCCTTCTTTTGAAGGTTTATTTATTTTTATTCACATTCTTTGGTTGGTTTAATACGGTCATGCATCTCCATGATACATACAAAATGGAAAAGTTGGTCTTCATCCCAACAAATTAATTGCAGATCCACAAAAATGCCTACTCCAAGGAGGATGATCCCTCTATTTACTGTGGTGGTAATGTGTACAAGGTAAAAACACAAAAAACACTAATTCTATCGGTTCTCTCTTCCTAACCCTCGAACCATCTCTATCCACTAAAGATTTTTCACCAAATCTCACTATTTTCTGGCCTACAAATTGTTTCGATTATCTTCCAAACCCTTCGGTTTAAGGAATCATTCTTATAATCAAATCCAGGAGCAGGCGCTCGGAGTCCACAATCCAATTAGCTGCACTCCCACACTGAAACCAACAATCAATTTCCACAACCCCTGTAATCAGAAAAAAGGACAATCACAAATTTGGCCTATTACGCAATCTGCAGAACATTTAATTCATAGCAGCAAAAGGAACATACGTACATCAATTAAATTGACATACCTCGCCCATGCATTCAAGCACTACCCTCAGGGAAAGCCAATGAAGCAAACATTTCTTCATCCGCTAACCAGCATTGCTCTTGCTGACCATTAGTTCCTCAGGGAAAGCCCTGCCCTGCTGCTACAAGTGTCCATTGTCCGCTTCAGAATCACTCCCTGACGAACTCCCTGAATCAGAATCTGCTACAGAATCAAAATTTAGGTTTTTCTGTCGAGAAGTTTCGAGTACAAAACAGAAAGCATACGGTAGGAACAGGTTTCATACCACTAGATGATGAGGAACCACTGCTAGAACTGCTCGAGCTACTAGAACTACTACTTGCATTGGCTCCTCCAACCACATCTTTGTCTTTCTCAATCTCCACAGGGGGGAAATTGCTCATTGGCATGTCGTCCCCAATGTCGACATCCTCATCACCAGCTTCTATTTTCTTCGGCTTCTTCACCTCAGCTGGTGCTGCTGTATCAACTATCTCCCTATCAGATAATTCCTGGCAAGACAAACAACAAATTAGTATACAGCTAAAAGCATTATTCTCTATGCTAAGTGAGAAAGCAAATCCTTTCAACATAGAGAAATTGACAAGAAGGGATTTTACCCCATTGCCTTTGTTAGAAGCCATATTATTATTGACCAATAGTGCCTGTCGCTTAATCTTGCTCACCATCTTTTTCCAATTTGTCACCAATCGATCAAGTTCCCAAAGGGTCTCTGTGTCAACAGCCTCAATATCAAGCTCGATCTCATCCCCATCCTGCTTCAAATGCCCATTTCTCTTCCTTATGATCTGCACTACCTGTTCCATTTTCTCTGGCGGCAAACTCTGCAACCCAATTCCCAACTTGTGCTTCTCCTCAAGGCTCATTTCCCTCTTATTTGGGTCCTTCGCCTTTGGCTTGGGCTGCTTCAAGGGCTTCACAGGAGGCGCACGCATTGGAGACGGAGTGCGCACAGGAGACTGCAGCAACGGCGGGTTCGAAGAACTCGCAGGGTCAGGAGGTGGCTCTATCAATTTGGGCGGAGGGATCGGATTCTCCTTCTTCTTGACCCTCTCTGGCTCTACATGGTTCCACGAACTAGCCTGCAATTCATCATCAAAAGAGCGATCTTCAAATCTCTCATGCACCGGCCTATAAAGCTCCTCAAACCTCGCCAGAAGCTGCTCCGCCATGGCGTATACGTCGTGACCCTTGGGATTGTAGGTCAATGCGTTGTTGAACGTCAACCGCACATCGGACGCAAATTCTGACTGAGTCGCATACACATTCTTGGCGAGATTCGACTTCACGGTACCCAGATCCATCGGTTTCTTAATTATATCATAGTAATCGTGAAGACCCATACCCACGACATCGACTGGAACGTTGAAGATCCAACCGAATTTGTGTTTCATCAGCTTCTGCAAAACCTGCGCACAACCCTTCATCATGTTCCCAACTTCCGATTGGGACCGCTTCAATTCTTTCATCGGCAAGGGTCGCTTGTTCCCGGAAACCTTCTTGCTCGACGGTTTCTTGGGGGGACCACCGCCGTTGGTGCTCGGCCTGGGTTGAAAATCACCGGACTCAATTCGAATCTTGAGTTGGCGAATCTGTTCAAGTTCAGAAACGAGACGGTTCTTGAGCTCGTTCAGGTCCTTCTTGGTGTACGAGGCGACGTTGAAGGTCACGTATTGCGAATGGTGGTTGACGGCGTCGTTGGATCTCCGGTTGATAGAGGAAGCATCGTCCGACGGCGATTGAGTCCTCTTGTTGTTACCGAATTTAGGGTTAGAGTTAGGGTTAGGGTAAGGTACTTTTCCCATGAATCCTGCTCCACCGCCTCTGTGCTGCGGCCAGTTCGGTTCGTTACGGTTGGCTAAGACGGCGGACGCCATGGACGCGCAAAATCACGGTCGTCTGGTGAGACTCCTGCTAACCTCCGGCATGAAATTCCCAATGCCGGTCGTAAAGGAAATGAGTCAGCGGAATCCGCACAATCACGCGCCTTTAAAGCCTTCACGCGCTGTTAAAAAGCCTCACGCGCCACCGTCCGAGGCAGAGCTGCTGGATCTAGAGAGAGACAGGGGGGAGAGAGAGGAGCGTGTAGGGTTTGTAATTTTGGGTACCCTAATCTGAGCGATGAAGGAGAAGGGGAAATGAGCCACTTCTTAAAGGCAATGAGATTTGCCCGCTGATGTTTCGGGCAGTTTAATCTGCCGTTGATACGTTATTGGTCGTTCATCCAACGGGTACTAACCGTTTCTCTGCTGCCCCGGAAATGACCGTAAGATCTGGCACGAACGGTGCAGATTGTGATTTCGTTCCACGTGTAAGATTTCTGACCATTGATGGAGAGGTGATGACGCAGGAGGTTTTCTATGATTTTGGATTTGATTTTGATATTAATTTGGGATGAATGTCCATAGGGGTCTAAATGGGCTGGGTTAGGCTTTGGCCATCTTGGTCTAAGTCTACGTAAAAAAAATTTAGCCTACTGGCCTATTAAAGGCTTTATTTGTGGGTCTAGCCCGGCCCATTTTCAAAAATAAGAAAGTCTGACATGGCCTACAGGCCTTGTAGGCCTCCCACTATATATACTAAGGAAAAATAATAATTGTATAGAGCAAAGAAAGTTTCATTCATGCATGTACTAGTACTTCTGATAAGAAAAAAAATGATAAACAAGAAAGAGTCAACATAATATTTCAGCTCTAGAATGTATATTATTGAGGAATAGAGTCAAAGAAATGGAAAAAATAAGAAAATACAATTGCTGGATGCTGAAATAAGTCTATAAGAGAATGTCATTCATCTAAAATTCTTTAAACTACCATCAAGACAAGGGAAAAAAAGAGTATTATTGAAAGATCTTCATCAGTAACATCATAATCCAGCAAGGTACCCATTGCTCCATGGTATTAAGCTGCAACAACATGTAAAATTTGGAGACATTAGACAAGTTTTCCTTTCATAAAATAAAATAGCACAAAAAGTAAGAGATATTGATATTTGATACTTTGTGTCTTTGTCACATAAAATAAATATTATTTTATTATTTTAATAAATTAAATAGGTCAGCTTACAAGGTTGTAGGCCGGGCTTGACAAAATTGGCCTATGACCTATTTATTAAATTTTTTTTTTATAAATCTAAGTCTACTCTACTTTTCTGAAAGGTCAGACCTGGGCTGGGCTCAACGTAAGCCGGGCCGTAGGCTGGGCTGGGCCAGTCTGGCCATTTACCCGTAAATGTCCATTTAGGATTTCAACCCGACCTGGGGTACACACTGATGACGTGGCATAATGTTCCGGCGGGGTGAGATTGTGAGGAGGTGAGAGTAAAACGCTTGGACGGCATAATTGGGGGACATGAGGATAGTTTAGTAATTTAACAGTGGACGATTAGAATTTGAAATAGGAGTTTGAAGACCAGTTCTTCCACTTGCTATGAGTTTTCACCTATTTATAATATCACAACATTTTTATTTATTTTATTTTATTTTATTAAAAATATCACGATTTTCTTAGGAAAATTGAAAGAAAAAAAAATTCTGCTTCTCGTTTATTATCCTCGCTCGCATGAAAATAGAACTTGGAGAATTTGTAGTGAATGAGTGTAGTTATTGCATTTGGCAAGATGTGAACTAGTGGTTTAATTAAGGGGATAGGATTAGACAAAAAGAGACTGGATAAAGGATTATTGAAGGGAACCCAAGGGTACTCAAATTTATAATTGAGTGTCTAAGGGTTTATTTTGATCTCAAAATAAATTTTTAAAAATTTTTGAGAGTTAGAGAAAAATCATCTTTCCCTCAAAAAAGAATTAGTCTCACCCAATTGTCTAATGCACTCTGTTGTAAATAATAATTATTTAGTTATTATTTAGTGATTTATTTGTTGTATTGGGCCAAGCCCATTAAGTTAAAATTAGGTCAAGTATTCTCTATAAATAGAGAACCCTTTGTACAGATTATTTACAATTTTATAATATATTAGAATACTCTTTTTCAAGTTGGTATCAGAGCTCTCGATCTGAGGGCTTTGCTTCCGCACATATTATCTTCTTTTTTAACAAAACCCTAATTTCTTTGCCTCTTGCCGCCATCAGCCGCCACCGAAAAAATTTTCCGGGGACCTTTTGGACCAAGGGGACCATTGTTGACCTTATTTTTCCTCCGATCTATCATTCTACGCACTGTTCCTCCGCCACAAACGACCGAAACACCTCCAATCAGATCTGTCTTCACCGTTTGGACCACTTTCCGGCGACTTTTCAACCGCGATCACCCACAGACAGGTGCGCGCTCACCGGACGACCACACCAGAAAAATCTCAGCCGGCGAAACCCCTCCACGCGCTCTCACGCGCCGCCCCTTTCCCGGCGAGTGAATCCCCCGCGCAGCTCCTTTCTCCGGCGCGTGGAGGCGCGTGCGGCCGTGTTTTTGGACCGGACCACCACCATTCTTCTCGTCTTCTTGTCTTCTGTCTGGATCTATAATTATTTTTCTGATCAGAGGTCATTTGATATTCTGTTTTGTTGATTTTATCGCTGGTTGTTAACTTTTTTTGTTAAAGAATGGCCGAGCATGATAGTTCTTCGATCTTATCTGGTAAGAGCACACGTTCATATCTCTTCTTGCTTCTTGCACTGATTTTAAAACCTCATGGATTTTGGATTGTGGTGCAACTGATCATATGGCTTGTCGTACTGAGTTGTTTTGTTCTTATCATCCTACTGTTGGTAGTCATACTATATCCGTAGCTGATGGATCACATAAATCAGTTATTGGTTCTGGTAACATTCAAATTCAACCTTCCTTGTTTCTTAAAAATGTTCTTTATGTTCCTCAGCTTTCTACTAATCTTATCTCTACTCAAAAACTTACAACTGATTTGAATTGTTCTATCACATTTTTTCCTTCTCATTGTCTTATTCAGGATCTTACCACGAAGAAGACAATTGGAGTTGCTAATGAACAAGATGGGTTGTATCATCTCCTTCCAGACCATGCTAGCAAAAATCAGTTATTAATGACACGTCATCCTTCAACTGCAGAGTCTATGATTTGGCTCCATCACAAGCGTCTGGGGCATCCACCATTTAGTCTTTTGAAGTCTATGTTCCCCTCTCTGTTTCTCAATAAGTCGGTCGAGACCTTTCATTGTGATGTTTGTGAATTTGCAAAACACTATCGAGTGTCATTTCCTTCTAGCACTATTAAAAGCAAGGAACCTTTTTCTCTTATCCATTCTGATGTTTGGGGCCCTTCTAAAGTGCACAGTGTTTCAGGTGCAAGGTGGTTTGTTTCTTTTATTGACGATTGTACTCGGATAACATGGATATACTTGATGAAAGACAAGTATGAAGTACCAGAGATATTTATTCGGTTTCATCACATGGTTGAGACTCAGTTTGGTAAGGGTATTAAAAGACTCAGATCTGATAATGGTACTGAGTACGTCAATCAACGCCTGTCACAATTCATTTCAGACAGAGGTATGATTCATGAGCTCACATGTGTTGATACCCCTCAACAAAACGGGGTTGCTGAAAGGAAAAATCGTCACCTTCTTGAAGTTGCTAGAGCACTACTTTTCCAGACATCTGTTCCTAGTTCTTATTGGGGAGAAGCAGTATTAGCTGCAACTTTTTTGATCAACCGTTTACCTTCACGGGTCCTTAACAATATCAGTCCTATTCATTCCATGACTTCCTTCTTTCCTTCTGTTCCCATATTGCAGAGCCTTCCACCAAGAGTGTTTGGATGTGTTGCCTTTGTCCATGTTCATAAACAACATCGGAGTAAGTTGGATCCTAGGGCTTTTAAGTGTGTCTTCCTTGGTTATAACCCTTATAAAAAAGGGTACAAGTGTTATCATCCACCAAGTCAGAAATTTTTTGTTTCTATGGATGTCACCTTTCAAGAATCTGAATCTTATTTCCTGGGTTCTCATCGTCAGGGGGAGAATAGTTCTTCAGAAGACTTCCCCTTCCTTCTTTGAGTCTGGATCAATCTTCTCTCTTCCCAGTGTGTCTGCTCCTGGTGTGTCAGAACCTTCAAATACACCTGAGATACAACCCATACTGTCTCACCAGCAACCTCAATCGTCTGAACCACTGGTAAGTCCTGAATCTCCTATTTCTTCTGAGTCTCCTGAGTCTCCTGTTTCTGATTCTAATATTATTTCCTCTCATGATTTGTCTATTTCTTCTGATATCTCTAATGACTTACCCATTGCTTCTACTTCTGATGACTTACCTATTGCTCTTAGAAAAGGAAAAAGATCTTGTCACAAGAAAACTTGTTCATCTTGTCCCTCTTGTACTCAATACCCTATCTCCCACTTTGTTTCCTCTGCTAATCTTTATGTGCAGCACAAAAGCTTTGTTTCAGCACTAGATTCTATTGCAATCCCAAAATCAGTACATGAAGCCTTGAAAGATAGGAATTGGGCTCAAGCCATGCAAGAGGAGATGAATGCTTTGGAGAAAAATAAAACATGGGAGGTTATTGATAGACCCAACGAAAAGAAAGCAGTAGGGTGCAGATGGGTTTATGCCCTGAAATATAATTCTGATGGCTCTCTTGAGAGATATAAAGCTCGATTAGTGGCCAAAGGTTACACTCAAACCTATGGCATTGATTATGAAGAAACCTTTGCTCCAGTTGCAAAGATGAATACAGTGAGAATCTTGTTATCCCTTGCTGCCCATTAGAATTGGGATATAAATCAATTTGATGTGAAAAATGATTTCCTCAATGGTGAGTTAGAAGAAGAAGTCTACATGGAAATCCCGCCTGGTTTTGATTCTGTGAAGGGGGAAAATAAAGTTTGTAGATTAAAAAAGGCCTTGTATGGATTGAAGCAGTCATCTCGTGCTTGGTTTGGAAGATTTACTAAGGTTATGATGACCTTAGGATACAGACAGAGCCAAGGAGATCACACTCTTTTCTTCAAGCACTCCCAAAATGGGAAGCTTACTGTGCTCCTTGTATATGTTGATGATATTATTATCACAGGTGATGATTTTGTGGAGAGACAGAATCTGCAAACACGGCTTGCCTCTAAGTTTGAAATCAAAGACCTTGGGAAACTGAGATATTTCCTAGGGATAGAAGT